CTTTGGATTTTGTCTTGAACATCTCCTTACCATGCCTGGTGGTGGAGTCATCTCCTCGCCTGCGGACACCATGCGTGTCGAGGCTCCGGTCACATTCAAGGCCTACTTGATGTGTGCCTTTGCTGCCTTTGGTGGTATCTTCTTCGGATATGACTCTGGTTATATCTCCGGTGTTCTGGGAATGTCCTACTTCATTCAGCAGTATGAGAATCTCGTGAGTTAACTTGATCTGGCATCCTGAAACCTCTACTGACCATGAATAGGACCCCGCTACTACTCCCTCGGATCTTTTCGTTATCCCCGCCTCAAGGAAATCGCTCATTGTCTCTATTCTATCTGCTGGAACATTCTTTGGTGCTTTGATTGCTGGTGATCTGGCTGATTGGTTTGGTCGTCGGACTACCATCATCTCCGGATGTGGCATTTTCATCATTGGTGTCGTTCTGCAGACTGCTGCTAGCAGCCTGGGTCTGCTCGTTGCCGGTCGTCTGATTGCTGGATTCGGTATCGGTTTCGTCTCTGCCATTATTGTTCTCTACATGTCGGAGATTGCCCCGCGCAAGGTCCGTGGTGCCATCGTTTCCGGCTACCAGTTCTGCATCACCATTGGTCTCATGCTGGCCTCCTGCGTCGACTATGGCACTCAGAACCGCACTGATAGCGGTGCCTACCGCATTCCCATTGCCCTCCAGATGCTCTGGGCTGTCATCTTGGCCATCGGTCTGTTCCTCCTTCCTGAGTCTCCTCGTTACTTCATCCGCAAGGGCCAGAAGGAGAAGGCCCGTGATGTGCTTGCCCGTATCCGTGGCCAACCTGCTGACTCCGAGTTCGTTACCCTGGAGCTGGATGAGATCGACGCCAACAACCAGTATGAGCTGCTGCACATCCCCCAGGGTGGATACTTCGCCACCTGGTTCAACTGCTTCCGCGGCAGTCTCTGGGAGCCCAACAGCAACCTGCGCCGCACCATTCTCGGTACCTCCCTGCAGATGATGCAGCAGTGGACTGGTGTCAACTTCGTCTTCTATTTCGGAACCACCTTCTTCCAGCAGCTTGGCACAATCCAGGATCCTTTCCTGCTGAGCATGATCACCACCATTGTCAACGTCGTCTCCACTCCCCTCTCCTTCTACGCCATTGAGAAGTTTGGCCGTCGCCCCCTCCTCCTGTGGGGTGCCCTGGGCATGGTCGTCTGTCAGTTCATTGTCGCCATTATTGGTGTCACTGACGGCCACAACCCCAAGGCTATCAGTTCCATGATCGCCTTCATCTGCATCTACATCTTCTTCTTCGCCACCACCTGGGGTCCTGGTGCCTGGGTTGTGATCGGTGAAATCTACCCCCTGCCAATCCGTTCCCGTGGTGTTGCCCTCTCGACCTCCTCTAACTGGCTCTGGAACTGCGTAAGCATCCCCCCATCCCTCAAACACGAAAGATACACTAACCTTCTCAACAGATCATCGCCGTCATCACCCCCTACATGGTTGATTCCGACAAGGGTAACCTTGGACCTAAGGTGTTCTTCCTCTGGGGCTCCCTCTGCACCTGCGCCTTCATCTACACCTACTTCCTGATCCCCGAAACCAAGGGTCTCACCCTAGAGCAGGTCGACAAGATGATGGAGGAGACCACCCCCCGCACCTCCGCCAAGTGGAAGCCTCACTCCACCTTCACCGCCGAGATCGGCCTCGTCGACGAGAAGATGGCTGTGGGACCTACTGTCACGCAGCAGGAGGTCTAAGCTATCAGATTGGCTCTGATATGGTGATCTTTTTGATTTACCGTTTTGAGTTTTACTCTATGCTTGCCTTAGCGGCTCAGCCTCTTACTGTCTCTACCATGCGTTGACGTTTTGATGTGCCATTGTTTAAATATCCACGAAGCTGTATGTATTATAATCGACTAATTATTATCGTGATATAACTCTTCTCTGTTAAAGCCTTGTAGTTACTGATAAATCTTTGACGCCATACCGGCGGGGTAACACCACCAACCTCAGCCACGTTGGACAAATGCAACACACTGCAGCAAGTGGAACTGCAAGTCGCTTGCAAGCAATTTCCAAGGATTCTGTGATTTTCCGTGTCTTGGCGAAACACCAGTCTTGCCCAGTTTCTACATAGCCCGCCCCGTACTGTCGCAGGAAGGGGGGGCCAAGATAAAAGTACGCTTACCATCCATGTTACAACTATGACCCCTGAGGGGCATACCCTGTCTTGTTCTGCATTTAGATTACTTATGCATAGTAATTGATTGGTCTATCAACAGGGAACATGTCTGTCACGTTTGACATCGGAGCTGATGCGTGAGTCAGGAACGGATCACCGACGCACTACCGAGGATCTTCGCCAATGCGAACAGAAAGATTTTGTCTTTGATGTCTATAACTGCCATTTTCCACGAATTGGCACGACTGGATGAAGACTTGCTTAACATCGCAAGACACAACACCGACAATCGAGCTCTGGGGAATTTGTTTCGGGGAGTCCTGTCACCAACGTCGATCATTTGGAACACCTTCCAAGGTGGTGGCCAAACCGCTCAACCTCCTATTCTACGACTGCAATGTCCGGCATTGTTCCCTGCTTCTCCGCTGACTCACCAAGGGCTAAGGGTTGAGTATTTCTTGGCCGGCGTTAATGAAGGATGATCGACCAGGGTTGAACATCTGTTTGCTCGGAGAGCCGTTTTGTAACCTTCTCCTTCGGCTATTGCAATCCAATCAACCGCAGCCAATTTCACAATCCTTGACCTAAGGCTACCTCGCCTTTATTAATGCACTATGGAGGTCCGACGCCAGTTCTGCAGCGGCGTCCTTCTGAGAAATGCGCCGTGTTCTATTTGTCGGAGCAGACATGGGGCCCCAATCTTCGTCGTCAGCTTCATCAAAGAAGAAGATTGTGTCGCCCGAGGCTATTCTCAATGGAGTTGCACTCCGTTTATGAATGTGCGCCATCAAGTAGCAAGAAAGATATACAAGACCACTGATGAACTGCAAACGATACCATCTTCATTCAAATAACGCTGCAGAGTACTCTGAGTCAAATCTTCTCTTTGATTCTCATCCTCAATTGGAACGTCAATCATAATGTACCTTGCATCCATTATCTCCGTTGGCCTGTTTGGCTTGACCGGCCTTGTTTCTGCTCATCCAGGCCATGATGTCAAGGCCGAAGCTGCTGAGCGGGCTGCATTCCTCCAGAACGCCCCCATCCACTCACACAGTTTTCCCCAGTGTTCCTCTAAGCTGAAAGCTAGGGGTCATTTGAGACGGAGCGTCGCGCGCCGCGAGATGGCCGTCAAGCATCTGCGCCGTCGCCGTGGCATTGATTCTGGTATGTCCCCTTACCGGGTCCAACGCTCGAGGTCATTCATAGCATCAGCATAGAGACTGAAGACAATTTCCCTTTTCTCTTCCACTTCTTGGGTAGTTAAAAGCCCATTCTTGACCTGATGTCGGAAGGCTTTGGCCTGGCAGGAAGCATCTTTGTAACGTGCCTTCTTATTATCAAGGGCGTGAGACGACATGTGTAGATGATTGGACATCGTCACCGCTTTAAGAATACGATAATATTACAGAATTAGGCGTCTCCCTAACAAAAGCAGGGGTGTTCCTATCAATTCCCGGCAACCGTACGAGACCGACCCCTCCCAGATGGATGGCGCCACGGCTTCTGTCAACTTTTCTTTTGCTCAATCTCCATCACTAGCAGGCGACACACCTTGGCGCAACCATTGTACCAGGCGTCAATCAAGAGATATAGGAGACCCAACGGCACCGTAGTCAATTACCGAAGGCTACGTACGAAGTCTGAGGAGCGGGAAGAAAAGGCTAAGAAACTTTTTCGGAGACAGGACGCGAGCGGGCATGAGCCGACACACAGTCGGAAGAGTGGTGGCATGGCAACAACGGAGGCACAGGATATTGCGAGGACAAGTTCGAGGAGGGTCCATATTGTTTCGAGCGAGCCGCTTCCTGAATAAGCTGCGTATTAGACAGAGGGAAAGAGACAAAAATGCAATGAGATGCTTACGGGTTAGGTTTCGTGTGGCATAGTTGTCAAATTCTAGTAGACGGAGGAAACTAAAAATGCAGACTCTTTTAGAGAAGTAATTAGTGACAGGTTTCTAGCCAGGGAACGATGGCGAGCACCAACAAAGTACCAACTGAGAATAACACAGTGAGCTGGATCTTCAGCCTCGCTATTAGCCTCAATCGCCAGACAACCACGGTTGGAAGAATTAGCAAGGCAATGTCCTCCGCTAGGGACAAAGACCCCATCGCCGTGTACAGGGCGATCTGGCCACTGATGCAGGTTCCCTCATCGCCTTGAATCCAGAAGTGTTGAACCGGCCAGCATTGGAAGATAACGGCTAGGACTGAACTAATACCCCACGCTATAGTAAATATGATCAGGCCTGCGGTGGTGGCGCGAATGCCTGACATGCTGCCTAATATGCGGGAGAGCAAAATAGTGATTGCCAGCTTGACAAACACTTGGGCGAGGACCCAGAATATTTGATCAAGCCAAAACAACTAAGGGTATTAGAGAAAGCTGATTCGAATCGACAAGTAATAAACTTACTAAAGCCGCTCGACGACGAATGGGTCGCGGCAAGTCAGAAACATCGTGTCCGACCCCACTAAAGGCAGCTTCACGGGTCGTATAAGTTATAGTTTGAGAGCCAGTAAACGGTAGGAGACTTGCCAGCAATTACACATGCGGTGAACCCATACACTGCAAATAGTCCGAGCCCCATGAACAAATCACTGATATCCAGGTTCTTAGTCAGGCATCGCCGAACATACAAACGTACGAGCAAGGACAGCGTCGCCACGAAAATACCGGCGATCGACACGCCAAGTAGCGTCCGACCCCAGTACCCGATCTCAGCCATAGTGCAAGGTGCGGTATCATTATATCTTTGGACAGCAGATGTAGAGTCGATCAAAAGGCTGCAACAACCTTGACAAGCCAAAAATCAGTCATTTTCAGTTAGTGTCATATTCAGCGACTATTACAATATATACCGCTCCATAGCCAGCGCTACCGGGAATGCCCAGAGCAGCTTTCGCGAAGGAATACGGGACCTCGGTGGCAAGATCAGCAGGGCCAGCCTGGAGCAAGTGTTGATGTCATGCCGACTGTTGTGACAACCGACCTTTTACTGTATCAGGATCTGTGCCCGATGAACCTTGGCAAATCAGATCTGGAGGGCTCTGGAGCGCGTTTGGCTGTCCTGCTCGGACTATTAAACTAGTTAATTGCTAGGAAAGAACACTCCATCGAGGTGGGCATCAAGGCATCAACCTGCGCATTTATCCTACATGCATTATCGTCCAATATCTATTTTGATTTCATACTAATAGTGGCGCTGAAGTTGACATGGTTATGATTTTGATTCCAAACTCACGAGTGGCTTTAAATACCGATCTTTGATGATTTTCATCTCTTCATCACTATATCCAGCCGAAGTGGCTGGTTTCAGGCGGAAAGTACCCGCTTCACTATCTAACGTAACCGGTAAGCGAGCCGCCACCCTACCCAAAAACGCGGCCATGAATTGGCATTTAGTTATGTTCAACCAACCACCATGCCACCGATTCGCTCCCGATCCTCTAGAAATTCAGCAGAGCAAGGGGGCACCACTTTCCATTTCAGAAAGAACGAATCATCGATAAATTGAGCCGATTTTTGGCGCAAGGGTCAGTTTTTAATCATATTTTAAATGCCCGCGTAACCTTTCTCTAAATTTCTTGTCAAAGCTACCCTGCAATGACTAAACGTAGCAACGAGAAGCGCTTGAAACTGAATCAACAACGTCAAGAAGCCTAGTCAGTCGACCCCGAGATGATTCCAGTGCCTGCTCGAAGAAGCGCAGCCGAGACAGCTGCTTGTCGTGGCGAAGCTGAAGACCGTCCCTCTCTTTAAGCAGGTGTGTGCCAGCCTCGTTCAGTATTTGATTGCTCTGCTCTAGCTTCTGGCCATCGATGTGCTTGGACACGCATGACTCCCGTAGGCGTCGATAGAGTCCGACAAGTCGAGCCGTGGGAAAGGCGAACTTGGGATCGTCGCGTTAGAGGTCTGCTAGCACCTTCAAGCTAGGTTGAAAGGGCTCGGTCGCCAAGGTATGTCTTGTTTCTGCTTCCTATTGCGAAGGAGAGTGCTGCCATGGTCAGCAAAAGCATTGGAAGCTGGGCCGTTCCACTTACCGATGGAGGAGAATGATCAGATAGTTCCTGTGAATTGTCTTTTTCACAAACGATTGGCAATGCACTGGGCTGCTGTTTTCCATCATTTTCCTGGTCTGGCGTGCTGTTTGAGGCATCCATTTTGTCCGCAGGAGAAAATCAAGGGTCTGCAAAGTACCGTTTCTATCAATCCTTGGAGTCTTTTATAGACTAAGTATACAGACATAGGTGGTTACAGTATGTACGCACTCTCACTATCACCATGAAAGTCAATCAACGCAGTCGGGGTTTGACTAGAATCTAAAGATTTTTCAGCGATCTGTTAGGAGCCCATTCAATGATGGTGATGGTGATCAAGCCTCGCGGTGTTGAGAGTTAGTGAGTGTATCTCGTATTTAGTGGCTCTCAGGTGATGAAAACTCCATATGGATGTATATATTCAATCAGAACACTTTTTCCACATTCGTTAAAAGTCTCAGAAATCCCAAAATCAGATAGAGTAAAATTTACAGTACTGAAAAAGAAAAATGAAAGAACAAGGTATCTATCTCAACGATGGTCACAAGTTCAAAACTTGACTCAAGTCAACAAGGAAGGCCAAGCTTCAACAGGTTGACGGGTCGAGTACCCGTGCCCGCGCGCGACCGTGGCTCGACGCTTTCCGCAGTCTAGATGGACAGAACCACACACATCTCAGAGAACCAACACTCAAGCGAGGCTAGGAAAAAGATCCATGATCCTTAGTGATGATAATGTGAGCGCTCTTTGGTAGAATCAAAGATTGAATAGCTTCCAGTGCCTCAATATAGAAGACCGTAGATTTGACAGTGAGCCAACGTTTCTTAACCGACTCAACTTCACTCATTCTCAATATGACTCTAGCATGTTTTTCTCGGTGGGCATCTAAAATGGCACCAAGAATTTCGCTGCAAATAGTTGCGGTAGAACGAAGGCATAGGTTGCAACAGGCCTCACTTAGGATAGGCACCGTGTCCAACGTTTGCTACCTAGCAGAGCACGTACGCGACAGGAGCCGAGAAGTCTATAAATATGTCCTCTCCCCCCAGCAATTTGTTCTACAATTCTATCACTCGGCTACGCAAAGTCCAGCAGGCCTTGCGTTTGAGGTACCTGATAAGTTCTTTCCTTTGACCCCTACTGGAATTTCCACTGTACTGACATCTATAGATACATCGTGGACGACAAGCTAGAAAGTGCCTGCGAGAGATGTGATTCTCACCAGATCTACTATGCCACCCATGCCAGCCGATCAAAGACACGAGATTTGGGCTAGCTGGTTAAAGCGTACAGTATGTTCTTTGCGAACATCTCTCTCCACCATAGCAACCGACAAAGCTGATCGACTGTTCTGCCCTGGGATGTATCTCCAAAGCGAAAGGGCGACTTTTAATACAGGTATGTGAATTTCAGCGCGACCCTGTCCGAAACTGGACTGACTTCATAGACGATGCGAAACAATCAGATCCGTCCAATATACACCAGCGCAAAAGCCACGGAGCTCTTTCCCGTCTCTTATTCCCAGGTCTTGACCTTCAGAACATGTGAGTCATAGAATAACTCTCCGGTCTACAAGCTAATGATGGACAGGAAACCCTTGACAGCGCACCAAAGTGAGCCCGAACCAGCACTCCGTCGGTGCTCCGCGCAAAGTCATGTCTTACACACCATTTCTGGCCCTGTCACTACAAACCATGCAATATACCCTATGTGAAATACTGCAAACCAAGGTCGCGGGCCAAGAACAGGACGTATAAGCTCCAGACGTTCGTTGTCCACGATGAGGTGAGTGGAATATCGCGCCTCCTGCTGCGCCGATTTTGATTTTGTGCCAAGTCTGTGCCCTAGACACGTACGCCACTGACATCTTCATGCCATTGTAGGAGCAGCCCATCGCCAGCCGCGAAAACTCTTGTGGCGAGTTACCTATTCCCGCCGAGTCAGATAGACTAAGGGGCCGACGTGCTCTATCGCGCGTCTTTCGCCCTCCACCTCACCGCCTTCACACCCTCAACAACGGAGTGCCTCTACACGAAGCGGTCTCCCAATTTGACAGCACAAATCCTTTACAGGTGAGTTCGTCACGCGCATTTGCCCCCTGCACTTAGTGTGGCTTCCTCGAAGCGACAGCCGCAGAGTGCGAAGAACCTGGATACAACATGGCATGATTGGTGACTGCGTTGCCGAAGAGAATTGGAAGTGATCTAGTTGGTAAGCTGGTATGATCTCAATTCTCATTGATCGTCGGTCGCAACCGTACACTCGAGAGGTTCATCGTGAATGAACAACGTAAAGTACAACATCTCGTCCAATTGAGTCAATACTTGCTGACTCGTACCCACAACAGGAAGACATCCTCAGATTCTCCCCACTCGAATGCGAAGCCAGCAAATACCTTATTTTTCCGAGCTCCCCTATACCAATGCGATCGAATGCTCTGTCCCTCCCACTATGACTGCTGGTGGCATCGACCATGACTCTCCGTGCGGCTTATATCGTCTATCCCGCTTCTTTCTCCCAGCGGTTTCTGTGCATAAGGTCATGCGCTGATGTACCTACCTGAAGCAAGACCCAAATTTTAATGAACGCATAGTATTGTCTGTCTCTGAGCATTGAACACCCACAGGGGATAGCCTCCTTGCGGCTTGAATCCCTGGCGTCCAACGGGTGACCATCGTTGTCCTCCGATGGAATTAACGTCTTTTGAGCCTGAAAATCTGAAGACACCGGGAGGAGCCGATATTTCGTCTTGCTATAGCGGTATTTTCATGCACGACGAAGTTATTAGTCGAGTCTGCTTGCAAGGAGAACGTGAGGCGAAAGTCCCGTCATTTCTAGCCGAATCAACTAATAATAACCATCTCAGCTTCGAATCGAGTGGACGAAACCTAGGACGGCCAAACGAAAGAGAAGACCCATGACCCAAGAACCACATCTGATAGAGTCCTCCTGATCCCTCTTGCTCTCCGCGTTGCTGAGCTTGTCGACATGTACGAGCGAGCGGGAACATGTCATTCGGACATGCACGGAGCTGCATGCTATCAAATGTGTTTCTCTCGTCCCCGTTGGACTGAAGGTTGATTTGTTTGATTCCTAGGCCTGCGGTCTTCTATCTAAGCCTGAGCACTACATGCAAAGCCTATATACGTTGAAGGTCACTGCAGCTGGAGGTCAGTCAAGCTATCTAATACCATTTGTCCATTGAGACCGTCTTCTAACATATCGCAATTGGCGGTGCAAGCGGTCTTGCTAGCATATCACCGACTTCTCTGCCTCCTGAGCTCAATGTCCTTTGAGCCTAGATGATGTTTCCTCAAACTCATCGCGACGATATCTGCCATATCATTGTTCGCGCAATTCACCGTGAAGGTGGGTACGATGATTGTAACAACACCACAAGAGACTGCGGGTTGTAGGACCTCTTGGACTCTCCCGTACGGCCTATACTGAATTATCTACCCCAATAAGCGTCATGTCATATTTGCTTGGGGAGGAGTTTCAGCGCATGCCTGCTAGGACCACACGTGGATTAGAGCACCCCTGTGCGAATATCATCCGGTCCTGAACGGCGATCGTAGAGAGGTACTTTTGCCAGGTCTGGTTTCAGATGGCTTATGTTGAACCCCGATAGGGCTTCAACCATGCTATATCAGCAGCGGAGCATGATTTATTGCATAACTCAGGAATACGCCCACAGAAAGTAACGACCGTTTCTTCATCGCTGTAGTGAACTTCTGCGGGAGATTGGGTGGACTATGAATCGTAGTTACTGACGGGGAATTACTTACAAAGTTGCGACGGCTCCTACATGTAGAAGGAGCGGATCAGAAATTCCCGAGCCAAAGCTCCCAATTAGACCTGGCTGTGACCCGCGCGGAGGGTCCCGCCAAGGACCCTCAATTTTACATAAAGGTACATAAATCATGATTTATAAGCAGTTTATTTCCTAATTAGGGTTAGTTATACATATATAATTTTAGTGGAGGGTCCATGGTCCAGATTTTGGACCCGCCTTGGCGTAAGGTAGATTCGAGCGACACGCAATATCCATGTGGAGAACGGCTCTGACTACACAAGAAACAGAGCCTCTCGCATCATAATGTTTACCCACGATTCGTGTTTTCGAGCGAGACCTCATCACATGGCTCTACACTTCGTAGTTCCGATGTTGAGCTTACAGTATATTGCGTGATCATAGTTGAGCAATTTTTGAATTAGATCATCTCAATTAAGTTGGAGGCTGTATGTTAAGGAGTGACTAAAAGGGATCAAAATCGCCTTGCGGAATCAAAATAATGCAATTGAAGTTTTAATGATATGGGTGACTTGGCAAGAAACCGCGCTGCCTCTGTTGAAATATCCCGGTTGCTGAGATAATGAGGCTGGGATCACGTGCATACATATATACCTGTTCACCAGCCTACTTGTATCTTAGACAACATGCAACACAACACACAATCAACTCCCCTCAATAACATGAACACTGAAGCATCACTTAATAATCAACAGGTTATGAGCCCGGCACTGCTCAACTCGAATTGAAGATCGCTTCTTACTCCTAAGTTTCCCCATCAAGTGATAGCTTCATCTATTGACTGAGTTGAAATTGCTCATTTAGTACTTCTACGAAGAGGACATTTTCCAACGATGAAGAGAAAAATGAATTGTGCGGACTCGTCTTACGAATCCTGACAAAAATCACACCGCTATATTTTTGTGAAACAATCATAGTCAACAGTTATGTTTCACAACAGACAACAGACGTATCACAGCTACAGACATATCACACCGCTCCAGACGTATCACATTACCCGGACAGATGAAATAACCTGTTCTCTATAGCATGCTGAGATGCTAATTTTCCCTAAAAACCCCTGATCTTCTCAAAAAGGGGGACAATCCGCGATTCTAACTTATGAAAAGAAAGCGTGGACCATATAACCAATGGACTGACAAGGAGCTCAATCTGGTGTGCTATCTTCGATACATCCGTCATTGGCCCTTTTCAAATATCCAAAAGGCGAACTTTCCACTACTTTCCCAACACGCAGTCGGCGCGGCCTATAGGAATTTACCTCCGGAAGAGCGCACACGCCGGGCGCTCGCTGCTGTGCCCGTCATTGCCGAGTCCCGGGGCACCACAGGACGCAACTCTCCAAGTCAAACGCAGCCGGTATTCTCAAATCCGGAACGGGGACCAATTCACCTTAGCTCCACAAATATCGAGATCGGACTTACACCGTCGACCTCAAATAGCAATACCTCAAATCGGTACAATCTCCGACCAAACAGACCAACATCTTTCGCAGAGCGAAAGCCACAATATATGGTGGACCGCGTCCATTTTCCTCACTTCTTCGAATCGTATAGCAATCATCTCAAGCCATACGACCTACCGGACAGTGAATACGTTCCCCCTTCGCATACACCTACCCCAAGCTCGTCGGAATATTCCCACTCCGTCAACTCTACTCAACCAAGCGCGGCCTCGAGTCTCGAATTATTTGGTCTGGAGCCTCGATCTCCTGAACTATCGGACTACACGCCTTCTGTCCACTCGATCCGCTCGAATGACACGTCAAATACCGAATTCTTTAGCACCGAAGAGTTCTGACTCTCACTAGGATGGATTCAAATAAATTCGAACAGATAGGCTTGAGCTCATTTTACAATGCCATACCAACACTTGATAATGCCAACGACTGGTCTCAGTGGAATCAGAAGGTCAAGGAGTTTCTCCGAATCTCCCCTGTGGCTAAAGATGGAACGATCCCACCTGTGGAAGGGGAGGAGGAGCAGCAATGGTCTCACCGCCAGACATTTTACTCGTCAATGATCGCGGCAAAACTGACCCACAACGCGGCTCAGCGGATAAACGCCTTCGAAATCACTCGAGTCCAAACTCTAATCAAAGCGGTGAAAGAAAACTTCAAGCCGGAAGGTTCAGGAACATACGTCAATCTTCAGAGGAGGTACATGTCACTTACCCGAGCAAAATGTGGGAGTGCACAAGCCCTCGGGGCCGAGATCAGAAAGATCCATGCCGAGAAACTTTTACTCGACCCCGCATGTGTCACTTCTGAGATTGAACGAACCTTCTTTTTCCTCCATGCCTTAGGTCCAGAATATGAAAGCTTCCGTGACCATGTCTTCAGGCAAATGGACATTGTCAATGATAGAGACGAGAACGGAAATATCACCAAAGCAGCCCCTACATTCGACTACATTGAGAACAAGGCCATTGAGGAGGAACATAGGAAAGGACAGCTGAGCAACCAATCCGCAGATGCAAATGCGCTTCCTGCCTTCATACTCAGCCAAAGCCTTGGAAACAAGAAAGTCACACCGTCTTCAGATGGGAAAACATGCCGGATCGAGATCGACAATGTCCCTTTCTGTATTTTCTGTCGAAAACCCTATCATAGGGAGCCTCAATGTTTCAAGAAGAACCCCAACCTGAGGGATCAAGAAAAGGAGAGAAGAATACGCCGGCCAAGATCCAACGATGCATACAAGGACTTTCGTAAGCCATCTAAGAGGCGGGCCAGTACGGACCATGAAGACGACGATTCAGAAGGACCGAGAGACCCCAAAAGACCGACGTTCATGGCGACACAAGCCTCGAAACAAGATGTCAATGCAGCATTCGGAGCCGAAGTTGAAGGAAACGTGGCCACCTTTGACTATATTCCCAGTATGATGGCCACGAAAGCTCTCTCGATCAGTGACGCCTGGATCGTGGACAGTGGGTGCGCTCAGCACGTCTGTAACAATGCCTTGAGATTCGTAAAGATGGACAAGTATGATGGCCCACCGTTGAGAAGCGTCGATACCTCAACGGCCCCTTCCGGTATAGGAGTTGCAAATGTCCTGTGCAATGTACGAGGAAGAAAGAAATGGCTGGTATTAGATGACGTTCTGTTCGTCCCAACTGCGCATGCGAATCTCATATCTGTGCTGCAACTTCTCAATCGGGGAGCAAAGATCGATTTCTCAAGCAATGGCGCCATTATTCGAAATAAATCAGATGGGAAAAATCTGTTCACCGCGAGCCAATATCATGGAGTCTACGCACTCGACCTATGGGCCAAACCTGCTTTTCCAGCCTACCATGTCAGCTCGCAATCGGCACTCTGGCACAATAGGCTCGCTCACATGAGCGGTGCGAATATACAACGACTCAAGAAGCAAGCTCACGGCATTCGGGATGATGCGCCACGCCAACCTTGCAACCCATGCCTCCAGGGGAGAATGATTGAAACCCCACATCGCCGTTCAGAAGCAGGCAAAAGAGCCAAATACGCCATGGAGCTCCTGCATATCGATGTTGCAGGACCGTTTGAGGAGGGCCTTGATGGTAGCCGCTACTGGCTGACCATTGTTGATGACTGTACTGGATGGGTTGAGATCGTTCCCATACCACGACGGCAAGAACACGTCGTTGAGTCCTTGCGGTACTTCCTCGACCACAACGAGCGCCCTGAGCGCAAATGCAGGCGGATTCGTCTTGACCGGATCCCGGAACAAGTGGGAGAAGAAATGAAATTTACCCTCTTCTCAAGGGCAATCCAAGCCGAAGTCACGGGCGTCGACCAGCACCAGCAGAATGGGGTAGCTGAAAGAGCCCACAGAACAATTTACGATCGAGTTGGACCAACGCTCGCACATGCGAAACTACCGCCCAAATTCTGGCCGGAGATTGCGCGGACTGCGGCCTTCCTCTCGAATCGATCACCATCATCCAAACGCAACATGACTCCGTATCAAGCTTGGTATGGTGACAAGCCTGACCTGTCACGGCTGAGAGTCATAGGATCCAAGGGAGAGTATCTAATCCCACCCAAACAGAGAAAGAAGTTAACGGGACCAAGAACAAGGCCATGTCTACTGCTGGGATACGAAGGAAATACAAACTATCGCATCCTGCTAGAAGACGGCAGAATCATTGGTACGCCAAATGCAGAATTTCATGAAGTCCTCAACACTCCTTCCACGCAGACCAGAGAAGACGTGGGAGCCAAACAGCAGAGCTTTCCTGTGGCAACGGCTACTGCCGCAGGGGGGAGTGAGACGGTGGGACTAATAAACCAACCGTCGGCCAGTATGCGACATGCATCCGTGCCAGCCTCGGGACGTCAAATCTCCCTGGCGCCACAAGGGCAAATACAGCCTAGATCAAGGGACGACATAGTGCAAGTGCATCTGCCTCCGTCGAGTGATAATAACTCGCAGCCCGCCGCTGCTGGACAAGGAGATATAACCTTTTCGCCTACACGGAGTGACGATACCTTCGGACCCTTATCACCTGCTTCACAGGATTCCGTCCTTAGGATTGACTCACCACCCGGTAGCGACCAGCAACAAGGCGATGCTCAGCAAGGGCGAATCCCAGATTGGCTAGATTGTTCCGAGCTACGGGAGGGTGGCGCAAAACACATAGTGCAACAAGCTTCACTGGAACGCCACCCAGAACTCAAGCTCCGTGACACACAAACGTTTCAAGACACACCTGGTGATGACCAAGAAGAACTCGTATTGATGAATATCCCTGACAAGAATGTCATTCCGACCTTCCTGACCGTAGCAGCGGAAGAGATAGAACCCTTTGAACCAAAGTCCCTTCGACAGGCCAAGAACGATCCACGCTGGCTTGAATAGGAAAAAGGAATGAGCGAAGAGTTACAATCACTCAAACAAAACAAAACTTGGGAAATGGTTGACCCTCCCAAGGATCGCCGAGTCCTGAGCGGGAAGTGGATTTTCAAGCTCAAACGAAGACCAGGCGGAGAAATCGTTCGCTACAAGTGCAGATGGGTAGTCAGAGGTTTCACCCAAGAAGAAGGTGTCGATTATGATCAGACATTTGCTTCCGTGGTCAAACCAATGAGTTACAAAGCCCTGTTCGCAACTGCCGCAGCCCTGGATCTCGAGATCGAACAAATGGATGTCAAAACAGCGTTCTTATACGGCGAGGTAGACCATGAGATCTATGTTGAACAGCCGCATCACACTACAGACGGCACATCGAGGGTCTGCAAGCTTCGAAAGGCACTCTACGGTCTGAAGCAAGCACCTCGTATCTGGTATCAGACGCTTACCAATTTCCTTCGGGATCTTGGCTTCGAGCCCATCAACGCCGATCTCAGTATCTTTGTTCGGAGCAGCATGTACATTGCAGTGTACGTGGACGACCTCTTGATCATCGGACCAAGCATTGCAGAGATAAAGAAGATCAAGAGGAGCCTCAGAAATCGTTTTCATATGACAGATCTTGGCCCCTGCAGCTACTACCTCGGCATGACCATCCGGCGAGATCGGCAGAACAGAATCCTCTATCTCAGCCAAGAGGCTTACGTGCACAAAGTCCTTCAACAATTCGGAATGTTAGATTGTGCACAAGTCAGCACGCCTATAGACACTTCACCTCTACCAGAAAGCGGTCCTGAATACATCTGCCCGTCGAATGTAAAGAACGAGTACCAGCGTGTGATCGGATCGCTGATGTATATCATGCTTGGGACTAGAGGCGATATCGCATACGCTGTCTCAGCGGCAAGCAGACACTTGGCAAATCCTGGTCCACAACATATGAAGCTCGCCCGCCGAATCCTTCGATATCTCAAAGGCACCAAATCCCTCAGTCTTGCGTATAAAGGTCAGCTCCAGATGCTCCGTGGCTTCACGGATGCAGATTGGGCTGGGTGTCACCAGACAAGACGGTCGACGGCAGGATATCTTTTCAACATTGGAAGTGGAGCAATCAGCTGGCAATCAAAGCGCCAGAACATTGTTGCCCTGTCTACCTGCGAGGCCGAATTCATGGGCCAGACGCAAGCAACCAAGGAAGCCATCTGGCTGAGAAGGCTCCTCCACGAGCTGAACATGGGCCAGGGAAAATGCGCAACGATTATCTGCGGCGACAACCAGGGAGCCATTGCGCTGGCCTCAAACCCTCAATATCATTCGCGTACAAAGCATATGGAAATCCAGCGAAAGTGGCAAGGAGAAGTCCAAGACGCCGGGACAGTGGAACTCAAGTATATCCCAACGTCAGAACAGATAGCGGATGGCTTCACGAAGCCCCTTGCACGAGATAGATTTGAATGGTTTCGAAAAGGCCTCGGCATTGAATAATAGCCCGGTCAGACACGAGCCTTCATACCAAAAAGGAAAAAGAAAAACCGGGCATGCAGGCACCCTTTCCTTCCTTTTTACCACTGGTTTTGGGAGGTTTTAATGGGGCTTGGCAACCGTGATGAAAGATCGCTGATATCCTTCTGACGAAGGAGATTAGCGAGTGGGAGTGTTGAAATATCCCGGTTGCTGAGATAATGAGGCTGGGATCACGTGCATACATATATACCTGTTCACCAGCCTACTTGTATCTTAGACAACATGCAACACAACACACAATCAACTCCCCTCAATAACATGAACACTGAAGCATCACTTCATAATCAACAGATGTTTCGCTACACACATTCACCACATCAACTCACCAACTCTCACCAACTCTCACCGACTTTCACCGACTTTCAACTCTCATTACAACGTACATTCTATCAGAACAAGCATCCCCGCGCAACAACTCTGTTTACTCTACACCTGAATGAAAGATGCCATTTTCCATTGCTGGCGCGAAAAAGGCAGAAAGAAAGGGAATACGAGTTGCTCACGATGGAAGTCCAGCTTGAACCTTACAATTTGGTGATTGAATTTGGGATGATCTATATACATTCTATTTATCCCATGGTGCTTCTTGGGATACGAAACAGATTATGAAAATGTTGGGCAGGTCTTTGCTTCATCGAATAGCCTCGGAATACTCGACTACTGGTCTCTAGCACCGCGAAGAGGTGCCTGCACATCGCTAGAGGCCTTGTTAACGCAGCAATCCCCTGCAAAGCACGTTTGTTGACGCAGAGCTCGTCCTGCGAAGCACCTTTTTACACTCGCGGGGCTCAGGGCAGCGAGGGAGCACATTTGTTGACGCAGAGCCCATCCTGCGAGGCACACTTGATAACGCAGAGCCCATCCTGCGAGGCACATTTGGTAACGCAGAGCCCATCCTGCGAGGTAGTCTTGTTTTCGCAGCACCTCCCAGCGAGGATTATTGTTGACGCAGACCTATCCTGCGAGGTAGTCTTGTTGACGCAGCACCTCCCTGCGAGGATTATTGTTGACGCAGACCTATCCTGCGGGGTAGTCTTGGTTTCGCAGCACCCCCCTGCGAGGATTGTTGTTGACGCAGACCTATCCTGCGAGGTAGTCTTGTTTTCGCAGCACCTCCCTGCGAGGATTATTGTTCACGCAGACCTATCCTGCGAGGTAGTCTTGTTGACGCAGCACCTCCCTGCGAGGATTATTGTTGACGCAGACCTATCCTGCGGGGTAGTCTTGGTTTCGCAGCACCCCCCTGCGAGGATTGTTGTTGACGCAGACCTATCCTGCGAGGTAGTCTTGTTGACGCAGCACCTCCCTGCGAGGATTATTGTTGACGCAGCACCTCCCTGCGAGGATTGTTGTTCACGCAGACCTATCCTGCGAAGCACCTTTCTACACTCGCGGGGCTCGTGGCAGCGAGGGAGCACAGTCTTACATCGCTGGGCTCGTGGCAGCGACAGCCATGGTCACGGAAGCTCTCAAGCCCACAGGCAAGAGAGGGACACTATGATGCATCAAAGTGTGAGAACCAAAGTGTGAGGATGGAAGTCCTGAGAATTTTGGGCTGGGAATCCGGCCCCTTTTATAATTTTTCGGTCAAGTCTCTACCAAGGAACCGTTGCGCCGAGGGTAGCGAGAATCACTGTCCTTTGGTTGGCGTTGAAGCAAGTTGAACGACGTTGAGACGGTGTTTTGGAGACTTTGTGGCCTACAGACTCAAGTTTCGACCTGAGATCATTTCTCTCAAATCTTGCGTTGAGTATGGTGAACCGCTTTCATCAACTGTTGAAAGAAAGCAACGCCGCAAAAATGTGATTCCTACATATTGTTGAATTTGCAATTAAATCGCTCAACGCGGTGACACTCTACACCTGATCATCCTGGTTCTGGGTCACTGTCTCGTTGAAGAGAATTGAAACGTTTCGACAACGCTGAAGTAATGTTCTGGACTTTGTGGCCGACAGTCACGCTCGATTGTACTCGTGGTTGGCCCATCTCGCCAAGAAGTAACACCCTTGGTCCCTGCTGGTGGCAAATATGTCGAATTTCACCGCCTTCTGTGGTGAAACGCCTCCGCAATTGTTGGGCATAAAGTGGCACAAAGACAACGTTTCCTTGGCTTAGCAAAGCTTCGCGATCAAATTTTCAACGCGCTTGAAGTATAAATAAGACTTGGTTTCTCTGTGGAAGTTCCACCACTCCTGACAAATTCTATTTTCCCTTCCAAACTTCGTTGAAATCCCAAGAACCATGGACTTGCCGCTTCCGGATCATCGAAGTTCGGAGCATCGGCCTCGCAAATATACTGCCCAACTTGTGAAAATGCTGGAAGAACGAAATCTTCGCAATCGGACTGGGAATGAACGCCAATCTGAATCCACTGCCTCAATACAGATGGAACATGATGGAGTACCAGCTGGCACAGAAAATCAAACATGGGAGCAGGCGCCGCAGCGGGGATTCAATCAAACATAGTCAAGAATCAGTGACAGTCGATGATCCATCGTCCGGGCTGCACAGGCGCGCATATTCGAACAAGCAGTAAGCAAACACCTCTACTATCATGTGCCACCTTGACTTCCAATCTTCTAACAACGTAATTTCAGATCTGCCGGGCGAATGAAGTCAGTACACACTCCTTGCATGCTGTCTGTCTATCCTGCCTCATTTATGTTTATTTGAATTTTTACCCTCTGATTTTATATACAAGAGATGGGCTGACAGATGGATACAGGGCGAGAAAGAGCAAGGACATCAGGCGCTCAATAACCCTGAAAAGTCTTGCTGCTGACTTCGAAGTTCTCAAGCGTGAGGTGCAAGATCTCAACAAGATGCTTGTCTCTTCCCAATCCCTACCGAATGAACGGTATCAAAAAAAGCGCGTCTCTTTCCAAGATAATGTCAGCTAAATAACTTACAACTGACGAGAGAGGCCTCAAAGCGCTTTTTCTTCCTATTGCGTCTAAGCATCGCGGTGGGCGGTCGGTATGTGCTTCAATGTCCAAGGATCAAAACCAGGCATGATACATAGAGCGGCCACTATCCAATGCTGCGGCATTATCACAACCAAGTATGCAACGAGATCAGGTTGTTGGAATGGCCAGACTTCATTGCTTCTACACCATTGTCTAGTACCCGCACTGCTGGAATGCCAATCAATTGCTAGTTTCCTGTGTGTTTTCCTGTGCTTGCCTGCAGCCTACTAATGCTGCCTTCATTATGATTTCTGCAATGTCGCGGCACAGACACTATGAACGTACTCTCAAGCCCAGGCTGAAGATTGTCTTTCTTTTGGGGACAATAATCAAAAGTCTTGGACCTATTGAAAAGCATATAATAGGAAACTGAGCGTAGTTTCCAGGACAACCATGTGAACTGTTGCAAACAAGGCTCACGAGCTAGGTTCTCGTAATCGCCACTCTTCGCAAGACTGCAACGCTCCTATCACCCTGATGAGACCTTGGAGACGAATAGCATTAGACGGACCAATCGAACACCATGCGCGGATTTAGACAGACGCAGGTACGGTTCTGCGATGCAGATCCCAGCGACGACCCACGGGACTGTACATCAAGGAGGTTCTATTTGTGGCCTAGAGGAGAACTTGGAAGGATTTGCAAAGTCCAGACACGATCCACAAGCCCAAACCTGATGGCCGTCAGTGTCCGATGGAACAGGTCTTCGTTGCTTAGGCGGTACTGCTGGGGCAGGCGAGTATTTGGAATATCACGCAGACTTTGGCGTCAGGATGGTAGGCTAAATCCTGATCCGTGGTTATGTTTTCCAGGTTCCTGTCAAGTGGCAAGCTGCTCTCTGTCTATCTGGTGTGTAGAAAGTTCTAGAAGCTATGTTCTTCTGTCCTGCATGAACCTTCCCCGTAGAGAGTATACTCTCTGAGTCCGACACAACCCCATCATCAGCCCCATTCAATGGCCAGTCCGATATGTCTAGCAGACAGCTTGTAGAAACTATGCGAATCATGGATAGATCTCATGAGCTTATGTAAAAATATCTCCGGTTTTTGCACTAAAACCGAGGAACCGATTGGCTCCCGGACATGAGTTGACGCTGTGGGTCGGCCCTCCTGCGGCCCCGAACTTTATTTCAATCACCCTCCGCATCTTGATTATGACTGTAGCGATAGAGAATCTTTCTTCTGCACTGCTGGTCTTTTCCAATATCCCGTACATGAGCAGGTAGAGACTGTGGTGGTTCTGCCCCAATTCTCTGGACTTCTCTTTTGGGCTGTAGGACTTAATCATGAGCAACCTAGAAATCAAGTGGGGCAGAAGCCCGGGCCTGAATCCTTCATGAAGACCGCATTCTCTCACCGAGCAGGTGATTCCATGGGTCATCCATACTAACAGAATAACTTGCGGTTCCGCTAATGATCGACAGCTGCGCTCGTGATTCCACGGTCTCTGTCAAACTAATTTCCTCCTGACTTAGGTGTAGGTCAAAACAAATCGTACGCTTCACCCCAAAGATTACCCTGCTTTCGACCATCGATCCAATCAAATTCAAGCAGACATATTACCTTGAGCCAACAAGAATGCCAGATATTTTCATTTTCCCAGAGCCCCCTTGCTACCATGTCCTGTCTCCCTATAGGAACACTCATAGTATCGTGAATCCTGATACGCTGTCCGCAGTACTTCCCGGGCCACATAACACTCCCATGAAATTCTCCTGGTTTTGATTGACAAGGATGAAAATGTGTAGGCGGACCTGTTCCAAGGGCACCACCATCATGCTCGAATTCTTACCTTTGACTTTCGGACTTCCTCTTTATTGTTGTCATTCCAAAGAAGAGCGATTGCCCCTTTCTATACCGAATACATGGAATGATATACAACCACGCTTATATTCCTCATGCTGGGGCTTCATTGCTGATCACAGCCTTTGTTATGGGAACATGCACCAGGACTAGTTCATCAAGATAGTTGGCCACTGTTCCTTCGACATCGCAATGTAGTGCTCCTTCCAATGAAATCCTGCTAAATTGGACGATCTGTTCGCTGGTATCTCAGCTTCCCGGCGGCACAGACACGATGCACATAGTCCCACCTCCAGGATGATGACAGTGTTCCTTTAGGCCGGTACGGAAGCGGTGCTGGCGTCACCTGGTCTGTGACGAAGAGTCAGCATGTAATATGAGAAGATTAAGGGTTTCGTACCTGAAATAGGGTTCGTTTGAGTTGGTTTTTTGCTGTCGTCAGGCTGGTTAGGGTCGGCCGCTAGAATTGTTTGAAACCATTTGTCGATGTTCCTTTGGGCAGGGGTCTTGGCTGAAAGACTCGACTGTGAAGCGCTGTCGACCACGGAGCGTCGTACGGCAACGGCTCGCTTTGGTTGCCTGGATTTGGGGGAGATTTGGCACCAGTGCGACTCTGCTTCCGCAGAATATGGTACTTTTTCCCTCGTAAAGATTCAACGCTTCGATGCACCTGATATTCTTCATAGTATGCGTCGGAGAGGGCTTTCCACGACAGCTCCGGATGGGCCTCCAACCATGGGAGAAGATTTTTCTCCTCCCATTCTGGCCAGCCGTGTGCGCTACGTTAGGACATGGTGATGCTCGGGCAAGTTGCGAAAGTAGCCGAAAACGGGTGAACAAAACAGCAGAAAGTGATTTGAAAGGTATAAGGTTGTTGAGTTTAAAAGGTTATAGTGTGGTGTGTGGCAGGTAAAAGCCGACTACTGTGTGTTATGAGCTTTGGCCTAGCCTAGAAAGCCAGTATCAGACTCTCACTCCTCGTACCAGTTCAAAGTTCTGAAGACCAAAAAGCCCTCACTTTTTGATGCGCTACGTTCGTTGATAATCAACAATGCCTCAACTTTCGATGCACTCTGCTTCGTTGAGAATCAACAACGTGGAACGCGGCCACAAGAGCCCGTTCTTGTTGACAATTCCCCATTGTTTCACCAATTGTTGAAATTTATTGTGTGACCCGCCTCTTAGTGAGTCATTGTTCAAATTGTGCAGAATTTGAAATAGATATCTACGGGTAGAAAATAGGAGTGAAAAATGCGTGTGCTTGCAATCCCCTCTCCAATTGCGAGCAAGCAAACACTCAATCCTGGCCCCGCGATACAACATGCTATAAAACTGGAGCACCTCCTCCTATCACAGAACATCAGAAAATGGACCACTCGTCACCCCAGTGTAACTCAGACGTAAGTATGGGCAAAATTCGAAAAGTCTCGCACACTCCTCGACGACAGAACTTTCGAGGCCGATTGCAACGTGCATTGTCCTTGTCGTCCTCTGAGTCTGAGGATACTGGTAGTCCATCCAGATCCGCTACAGGCGATACCACAGAGGACGATTCATCCTTTCAGAAGGAACACGACTCTGTCGACCAGGACAATAGCACCTCGGCCGAGGAGAGTGAGCAAGAAGCTGTACGACAGCGGAAGTCTGTGTTTGGACACCAAATGGACTTGGAACCACGCGGGCAGACTCAGCTTTCCGGAGATGGCAATTCGGTTGCTCTGGAATGCCTGACGGAGTAAGTACAATCCCATCAAGCACATAATCATGATTGGCCTGCTAACAACATCCAGACTAGATAACCGGATGCGGTCAGTTGTGGTCCATCTTGAGTGACAATGTAAAGCGCTAACTGTCTCAGCAGGTCTATTGAGGGCTCGTCGCATGACCAGGCCACCTGGAATGAAACCATTCGCAACGATCTGGCCGACGTTTTTGGTCGATTGGCGATCGTCGAAAGTGAGATCCAGAAGGCGACCAGGCAGGGTCCAAACAAAGCTACAGAGGGCCAGAAGATCAGGCGATCCCTCCGTCGGCAGCAGTGATGCGACTCAAGCATTACTTGAATACCCAACCATGTACGTCAGAGCAAGATATCAGTCTGTATTGCTCTTGCAGTATGACCACCAGCTCAACAAACAGAATATGAACACGCTCATCATCGATGCTGGATAGGACGGTCACTGGACAAGGTCGATTGACTCAATGCCAAGCTGATGCCATGGCGAGCGATGTATCATTTGTTGTTGCATTGGGGCCTTCGTGTTTTATCTATGCTTCCCTTAGCTGTGCAGACGGAAAACTATGACTGGTATATGAACTGTGCCGAGATGGCTCTCCTGAACCGACGGGCTATAGTCGCGAGCCACTATATGTTGCCGAGTAGATTAAATATTTGATTATTTCCATCATTGCAGCTGATTCTATTGCCTGGCCCACTATGCTTGTACTCGGTCTGTATAACTGAGGAAATTTTCAAGAAAGCTAAAGTACAGTAGTGCTCAAGAATCGCACATATGTTACAAATGATCAAAGATTGGTTGCGGCTATTGAAGTACGATCTTTAGCGGTTGATACTCGCACAGCAGTGCCACATCTATCGACTTGCGATATCTCACTCAACGAGAAACTGCTATCTGTGATTGCATTGGACCAGAATACTACGGCAAGCTTTGGCTGAACGCTGAGAAGAAATAATGTCTATAATGCGCAAGAGAAGCGCGGGTTTCTCCACGAAAACCACAGATATTAGCAATATACGGTTCGGACCATTAGAAATGCGTTTCCTTTACGGCATGGGGAGCCCACGCGAGTAACCAATCCACAGGCTTGCGTGGCAAGGTCTTTTGTCTCATCTACAGCGTATCTGAGCGTCTCGGCCATAAGGGGTGTGATGCTGAATACTGTATCGAGGCGCAGGCGCTTGCGCGTGCTCAAGTTACGAAAGGACGTAGCCCTGCCCTTGAGGACAATTAATAGAATTTACAATACACACGGGTTGTCACGGGACATATATAATCCAAACGTAGCAAAATGCTTCTTCAGGAACTATCTACGCGTCAACTACATTGCAAAGGCCGTCTTCTGCAGGAAAGTGAGAACTCACTCAGAGCAACGCACCCTAACTGTCAAACAAAAGATTCATCTCAGTTGGTGGTAGGTAGTTCATGTTGAGTACCAAGCGGGACATTGTCATTGTTCGATTGGGAGATGCTGGGGAGCATATCGTGGCCAAGGGGACCCGCGCCGCCCTGGTCGGGCCATTCTGCCTGGATCATTCCGGAGCCTGGCAAATAGGATGCCAGACGTCTGTTATGGAGGGCGTCGATTGCGCTCCAGAATCGAGTGGTGGCGGATACCAGCTCTGCGTGTGCCTGATCCAACACTAGCTGTATATCATTCCACGGGACCTGATCTTGCAGCGCGGTGTTCGTGGACTCCAGCTGCTGCTGCAATTGGCAAATCTCACGCTGGAGCTTCTGGTGCTCGGCTAATGCAGTATCCATTGCCGTGACAGCGATTTGCAATTCCGAAGTCTTTTGCGCTTTCTCGGCTTTGAGCTGGTCCAGCAACTGAGAAAGATCGTGGTTCTCTCCATCTCTCTCCTCAAGAACCTCTTGAAACTCCTCCTCAATATTGCTCATCACTCGGAGACACTTTCTATGCGTCGTTTTGTCATTCTTTCTTTTGGGCTTCTTCGTAATCGAGGTTGTCTAGCATGGTCAGTAAAGAGTACATTCAAATAAAAGGGGTGTCACCGGGGCTGTTCTGGCCATAGCGCAGTACGATCCAAAAAGGTGAGCATTGGCGTACCGAATCTCTGCGTGATTTCGTCTCTGCTTTGCGTGACTTTCGTCTATCCTTGGTCTCAGAACCAGTAGAACAAACGGAATAAAATGACGGTGCAGCACGCCGCTGTACTCCGTCAGACCTGAGGTCTGCGTCATCCTGAGTAGGCTTGGGATTCTTTGCCATGTTCGAACTTTTGTTTCCCTCAATCAACATTGAATCAACGAGGCGCAGAAGGGATGAGAAAAGTATTAGCAGTGACCTGCCGAGAATCTGGCATTATATAGGAATAGGGAGAGGCCTAAGCGTAAGACCTGAAACAGAGCAGGGCTCCTACCAAGCAAGTGCGTCGGGATGAGAATCACGAACTCAAAAGATTGAGGACTACTTTATATGCCGGACTCCGTGGAGCGTTAGCACGAAAGCACTAAACATTTGTCCTTCGATTGTACTGTCGGAAATGCGAGCAATTAGCCCGCAAAAAGATGCATGTGGATGCACACTACCTCTTCACAGCATGAACAGGCCAGCCTCATATTATTACATCACCAGTGAGTAACTGAATATGAGATAGACCCACTAACCATCAACACCGCGAGGCTTGATTACCAGCACCATCATCAAATGGACTGCCAAGTCTGTACTGTATATCCAGCCTATAAAAGGTATCATGGATTGGTGGACGTGCTATTGCTCAGACACTCGACTTCCTCCTACGGACAAAATGGATTGCTCGAACCGCACGCCAGACCAGGAAAAAGAATGAGAACAGCAGCCCACTGAATTGCCAATCGTTTGTTAAAAAGACTATTCACAGGAAGCTTCTGATCATGCACCAATTGTAAGTGGAACGGCTCAACTTCGAATGCTCTTGCTGACCATCGCAGCTCTCTCCTTCGCAACAGGAAGCAGAAACAAGACATATCTTGGCGACCGAGCCCTTTCAACCCATCTTGCAGGTGTTAGCAGACCTCGAACGCGACGATCCCAAGTTCGCCTTTCCCGCGGCTCGACTTGTCGGACTCCATCGACGCCTATGGGAGTCATGCGTGTCCAAGCACATCGATGGCAAGAAGCTAGAGCAGAGCAATCAGATCTTAATGAGGCTGGCATGCACCTAAAAAAAGAAAGAGACGGTCGTCAGCTTCGCCATGATGGGCAGATATCTCGACTGCGCTTTTTCGAGCATGCATTGGAATCATCTCGGGAACAACTGATTAGCGTACTCGATGACTGGAACCACCCTTCCAGACTCAATCTGGCAGGGATGCTGGACATTGCAAGAGGTGTGTAATGGATTGTCTATACAGGGTTGCCCTGTCCTATTTTGCCAATACAGAAATACTACAATCGACGATGCAACCCAAGGAGAATTACCGCATGGAAAGCAGCTTCCATCTTTAAGACCGAGTATTTACAGTAAGAATGGCATAGAATAGCCTCTTCAAATTTTTCATGTTCGCTGGGGAAGTGTTGGCGAACAATTACGCATGTTATGGACCAATCTCACTTGTAATCTGCCTTAGAAACCGAAGGAATTATTCACTCACACGACCCACCCTGGCAAGATCTGTTTCCGCACGTAGACGATTGTCATTGTTTCTAAGACCTTTGCCGGAGATGGAAGATGAAATATTAGGTCACTCTTCATCAGCCGCGGAATAATCCTGTGCCGCCACGTGTTGACATCATCCGGCGGTGTGAAAGAGGGGCATTCTCGCCACCGACGGAAATATTATCCATTATCTTTCAAGACGGGCATCCCTATCCATGTCTCATTTCTCCAGGACAAGCTCTCGTCAAAAAATGTTTGATATGCTGCCACTGAATTCGCATAAAGATATTGCTCCGATCCCCGGTCATGGGCCTCATCAGGCTGAGGGAAATCTCATCCCCCCCCCCGCCCCAAAAAGGCAAGCACGACCTGTTCAGCCTGCCAAAAACGCAAATCGAGAGTATGTATGTCCCGCGCGGAGAAGTGTCACCCCTGACTTTGACAAGTGTGTAGGAGGTGTACCCTGTGACCCTTGCCAAACAGCCAAGACGAAGTGCGAGATCAATACCGACAACGATGGTCGCCGTAGGGTCACCTTCAAGCGCAGAATTCAATCGTTGGAAAAGGACCGCGACTTGCTTCTCCAACTCGTGGAAACTCTCCGCAATGATGACGCGAAAACAGTTCCGGGAGTTCTAAATTTGATTCGAAGTAACGCGCCATTAAAGGAAATCCGGCAATACTTGGCTCAAGGCCCCGACTTCAGTAATTTCGATGAAACACAGACCAGAAATCAAAAATATCGGAGCAAATACATTGACATCAATCGTTTATCCGATATTCCTATTTTTGAGGTTCCCGCGCATCCATGGACATCAATGACGGACGATGATGACTTTGTATCTCATCTCATTTCGCTCTATTTCACCTGGCAACACTCCATTTCGAATTGGGTCGATCGAGACCTTTTTCTACGAGATATGCGCTCCAAGGATCTAAGCTCCCATTTTTGCTCTCCGCTTCTTGTGAATAGCATGTTAGCTGTGGCCTGCGTGAGTTTCTGTTGTGAAACCGATATCTCGATCAAAGTGAGACAGAGCACTAGCACGGCTGTGCACGTACAGTTTTATTCGGATTATCCTGAAGCTCTTGCTGTAGCGGATGAATTAGTTCTCGAGGTGAACATTTTTTTGAAGAGGCAATTCATCTGCTCCGAAATGAAAAAGGAAGATTGTCTCTTACCACTCTTCAAGCACGAGGGGATCTTCATAATTGGTTCGTATCACTCCTTTTTGCTTTTGAAATTATAAATTGATTGGAAATGACAGGGCTTGTGCGATGGGTAAGGAAAGACTAGGTTGGCAACAATTAGTGGAAATAGCAGCCTGTGTCCACCAGGCCACCTTGAAACGAGACACACTCATAGAAGAGGCGAATGAGCAGGCCCAAGAAATGGCAAGAGCCATTGATATTGCATTATGCGGCCTCTTCAGTCTAAATTCGTAAGTATAAAGAGTCCAAAAGAACCCATGCCTAATTATGTGTGTAGGAATGCTACTTTGAGCTTACAGAAGCCGTCAATGATCAAGAGACTTGATTTTGAGCATCTCCCGCAATACCATGATTGGAGAGACACTTGGATTCCTTATCCTAGACAAGCCGAGCCACTGTCAGCCCACACCAATTGTGTGATGAATGGCATGTTCGACCTGGCCATTATCTTGAGGGACGTGTCTGATTACCTTTTTCGGGAGGCGAAGCCCACTTGCACTGATCTTACCAAAGTCGATACATTCTACCAACGCCTACAACAGTGGGCCCAAAACCTTGCAGAATGCATCAAACCTGTAAACATCCCATCGCCTGGTGCTATAGAAATGCAGTGAGTCAAACCCTCTTTTCCTTGCAAATCGATTCTAACTCTGTCATTATAAAGTATGCGATATTACAATGCTGTTGCTTGCATGTCTAGGTTCGTTCAATCAGACCTCGGGGACAGCGAATCAACCACCAAGAAGCGGTTCGAGAATCTCCGGGTATCCGCAGCCCAAGGTATAGGCGTTATGCTAAACCAATTCCGTTCTCTATGGCCGGTGAAATATATGCCGATGGGATCGATACACTATGCCTCTGTGGCGTTATTCGCATTGCTGGGGAATCTAGAGGATGAACAAAACAAAAAAGCGTTTGAAGATGTTTTGATTAGTCTTAGCGCGCTTGCACGCCGCTGGCCATTGGCGAAAGAAATCTTTCAATTGGTACAGCTAACCGCTGTGCAGCAAGAGGTCAAGCTTCCCATTGCAACGCACGTTCTTCTCACGGACCATGAAGTGAATCATTGAAAGGCATACGATCAGCAACGCTCCAGTGGCCTCTAACCTATTTTTGCTATTCAATCCCAATTAGCAAGGGGTTGAATCAACTTATCGATGAGGCTAGATAGACTAATTTCTCAATGACTGGAAAATTACTCTATGTAACAGCGAAAAGTATTGAGTGCTAAAGGTGCCCAGAAAACTACTGCATATAGTGAAATTACATTATTTACATTTTCGACCCAACCAGAAATGTCTCCTACGAACCCTTCAACAATGCCCATAATTATGCCCTAGCCAAAAGAGAAGTCCGAGTCTTGATCCTTTCACACCTTAAGGTCAAGACCATCCTTGAGCATCACAGGCTAGCTGAGACGCAACCGCGGACTTATCACGTGCATTTGAAACCTTAAGTTCATCGCATTTTTGACCATTTTGCTCTCAGGTCTAGGGACCTCGAGCGGACTTAGGGCCTTCAGGAAAGCAGCCTGGGTAGCCGAAATATCGAACCCAAAAGGTGGAAGTGAGAGCAAAAAAATTGATGTCGCTAGAAAGCTGCCATGTTCGTAAGTCGTGCGGATAATGGCCTACACCACTAATTGTTCAGCGTTAGAATCATCTGCCCACCCATTTGGTATGAGAAGACCAAAAGACCAACCCTGAAAACACGATCAGTGCCCAAGTAACCCGTGGGAAGGTTCTTGAAAGCTGTTGCACCTTGGCAGACTCCAGGCATGTATCTCGGCGAAGTGAGATGGAACCGCTATAAGGCATGCCAAAACAGGACTAGAGGCTAGCTAAAACAGATAGGATAGTCTCTCGCTCTACAGGTGAATTAAGCCATGTTAGGCATTTAGGCTGATTCACCAAATTCGGGCTTATTGACGCCCAGTATATCTCCCACGCAATGTCAGGGATATACATGAAGCATACAGGATGAACGGAGATATGATCTGCGCTGGACCCACATGGTTTATATGGGTTCCCCTGAACGCGAGGAAGCCGGTTCCTTTTGCTTCCTCGCGCTACGTCACCAATGCGATCCAACCGTGTTGTTTCCACACCATACAAGGCCTTTCCCTGCCCTCTTCGCGCTATCTGACGACCTCGTCTACGAAGAAACTGCCTATTACACTATGCCGGTTTGCCCATGCAATCAACTCATAATTTACCATTCCCCTGATTTTTAACCCAACGCCACGCCGACGCTCACGCTAATACCGATTCTTGGGCTCTGCTCTACTGTTGCTATCCCTTTAAAGGGCCATGGCCAGCTGCGCTGGGGACCACCGCCGCCCCGAACCCGGAAGACCACAAGCCCCGTCGCGCCCGGCCTTGCTACGCCCGTAAGATACGATGAGCCACAATATCGACAATAGGGAAGGTTGGGGGTGGGGGAGGGGAAACAACCCCGACAAGTAGTCAAAGGATGGATCCAAGCCGGTTGAGTGAACGTCATGACCAAACTCACTACAGTATTGGATTGGTGGGCCTTCTGGTAATATTCACAAGGGCGAACAATTCCCCAGTCAACGATATTGATTTATTGATTAAGAAGAATGGTGGTTGAATGGTTGTTTTCAAGAGTGCTGTTGGAGTAAACACCCAACAATTGCCGATAATTAACAATTAATTATCATAGTCAATACGTGACCAAAGAGTACTCTTGCTCACTTTTGAACACCAAGGAGTTTAAAGACGGCAAGCTAATATTGAGGCTGATACAGAAAGTAGGTATTCATCTGACGTCATCGGCAGACTGTACTTTGCGATTTCCAAGATTGTAACAAATATCCATCCAATTGAGTAAATAACCCAGCTATCATCCACCAACCGCCTTCTGCTTCAATCCATGGATAGGGATTTAGATAGTGGAGAGTTACGAGAATCCAGAAGAAGTGTGAAGTTCAAGCCACGAGATAAAATTTAAAATCGGTCATATGACCGGTTTTTATATTAACTCATGTGAGACCAAAAAGCGTTAATTATTAGTCCATACCAAGAGCGTTGATGACAGTGACGCCTGAAGATTTAGTAAGCATCGTCATCCATTAACCGCGCTTACATCTTTTAGCCTTCAGCTAGTGCCCCATCCAGATTACTCCTATACATAAGCATCTAGGTGCTGCTTGTGGCATTAGGCTGTTCACCTCATCCTTAAAATCCTTTCTGGTTTCTACTCGGGGAGTCTGATGACTCCACCCTTGTTTGAACAATTCCCTGACCTACAGCTGTTAGAGTTGTTTGCCCGCTCGTGTGAGATTGCCAGTGTGAACAGTTGTCCAATATGGCACTCGTTCAGATATTCCTGGGTTGGGCCGTGTATGCAGTTGTCGTAGGTATCGTCCTTGCCGTGGTTTCTGTGTTTGTTCATGTTTACCAAACTCCTCGGGATCGTTATCCATCTGTAACCTTCACATGTGTCATTGCGATAACCAGTCTTCTTGCGACGGTGCTCCTTCTGCCAGTGGATGTGGCGCTTGTTTCATCGACAAACTCGTCCAGACTTGGCCGACGGAAAGATTGGGCCACGCAGGATGAGGTTGACAAGATCACCTACTCCTTGACAGTTGCCTACTATCTCCTGTATTCCCTGGATGCAATGTTTTGTCTCCTGGGGATTCCATTTGCATATTTTTGGTACGAGGAATATGACGAGGTTGCGACAGAAACAGGCCAGCAAACGTTTGGGCGGCGATTTTGGGGCGCCCTCAAATACACCATGTTATTGGTTGTCATTGTGATTATCTTGTTCCTTGTTGGACTTTTTGTCCCAGTGTCAAGAAACAAGAAAGGCATGGATCTGGATTATTTCAAGAAATTATTGACTGAGAACCGTGAGCATTTCTACCTCCCCCGGACTTTTGGGACCGCAAAGCTGACATAAATCGATACAGGTGGGGAACGTGCTTTTACTTTTGCCCTTGGGGTGCTGATGACCATCGGAATTTGCCTCTATGTCCCGTATACCTCCTCGGGTCTTGCTCTCTTCCCAATCAGCTTGATCAAGACCGCGCCATCAATTTCCAACCCGCGCTTGCGATCCAATACGTCAGCACAGCTCGAGACAAATCGTAAGCAGCAACGCCAGCTGGAAGGACGTTGCGGAGGAAACCCTGATCTCCTATCATCCGAAGATCGCAGAGAGCTCAATACTCTTGCACAGGAGGAAAGGACGCTTATTCAGCGACAACACCTGGTAGAAGAAGCCCAAGGCGAAGGTTCGAGCTGGTTGATAAAGGCATGGTTCAAGATCGAGGCGGTTTTCCGTCCCTTCAAACTTCTGGGCGGCATCTTACTGGTTTTGGTCGCGTTCGTTACATGGGTGTCTATGCTGTTGACTGCGGTTGACAAAGCAAAAAACTCCATCTGCAAGAACCTTTGTGGATATATCCTCGGACACGTCAGCTTCTTCAATCCCTTCAATTGGGCTCTTGTCCAATCCGCGAACATCTTCCCCGTTGACTATGCTATTTTCACCATGCTTGTCCTTTTACTTTTCTGCAGTTCTGTTGCCGGGATTGCTGCGGTGGGAATCCGATTCTTATGGGTCAGAGTCTTCCAAATCCGACAGCGGCACACGTCTCCCCAGGCTCTACTTTTAACAACCGAGATGTTGATGCTGATTATCTTGGCCTTAAATTATTCCATTTCGATGGTGGTTGCTCCACAGTACACAACATTCGGCCCACAAACCTTCTGTGATCGTACCCCTGGGCCACACTTGGGCCAGCCGGACTGTTCAAACAACATACATATGATTAAACCATGCTCGGAATTGGCAGACAAACCCGTCGCACAGCAAGTCTGCACGCCCAGTATTGTCAGCACCTTCCTTAATCGTGTCACTCTGAATTTTCCTTTCTTCGGCGTCGTGTTCTTTTGGGCTCAGTTTCTCTTTCTCGGTAGGGACTCTTTTCCTTTAAGCCACCCTATCAACTCAAATGACTCTCGAGCTAACAATAAACCAATAAAATAGGCTTCTACCTTGTCACTTTTCTCACATCTCTATTTCGCTTCCCGAATTTGGGCGAGAGACAACTCGACGAAGATGCAGAGGAGGCTGAGGAGGAAGGATTATTAGCAAGCACTGGCAGACGCTTTAATGTCACCTGGCAGGACATCACTGGTAGGGCCAGCCGGAGTGGACGCTCTGACAACTGATGTAATATTCATTTTTCCAAAAGGTTCATGTCATCAAAAGTGGGGATTAGCGGACCTGTAGCTTTCAAATTTTTGGTTGGTGAGAAAAGGAACTTTGAAGCTATTCTCTTGCCCTTGTGGCAGGAATTCCACCTCTGGTGTTTGCCTATTGTGCTAGTTCCGTGTAATATATATTGCGGGTGATCTAGCGAAGTCAGGCAGACACGATAGAGATCACTTTGGGTCGACTGGAACTGATTTCTGCCACCTGGTCGAAATGCTTCCACATCACGGCGGAGTGCGACTCTGTCGACCGCCTGATTTTCGATCATCCGTCCCTATTTATCCGTTGACTATATTTGATGTCAAGCCATTAGCCTGTAGAGTTGTCATCCAGTTCTTCCTACGGTTGGGTCCGACGTGTATAAGCGTTGCTGGAGGACTTCTTGGGAGAAATTCAAGTCTCGTCGAACAGTGACTCCTCCGCGATCTGTCTTTCAATCGCTTGCTTCTGAGCCTGTTCCGGATCTAGTTTATCCGCTGCGTTCCTTTCAGGGTCTTCGTAAAAGGGCCCCGATCCAACAGCGCCTGTAGTCTCTGGTGTTTTCAAAAGGTATCTCGACCAAAGATACGTGGTCAGTATCATCATTATCCCTCTCCCATAGCTGATTAAAAACTGCTGCATCCTGAGCCCCCAACCAAGGGATACTTTGATAAGTCATCTGGGCCTTCATCCGATAATTTCCAAAGACCCTGGGGTTTAGACTGTCGCTGACTTTGTCCCAGAGGGCTACTGCAGGACCGTGATACACCGCCACAATGCGACTGGCTGTTCCGTTCAATCGAAAGAGCGGAGCCGGGTATGGAAATACTACCATACAATACCTGAACCTGGTAGCTAGAGATTAGGGAATAAGGAGTGGCTCGAGCTTAAGCACCTGTGTATTGTATCGCCATCTACCTGTCGCTTCTTTCGATTTGCATCCAAGCTACGATCTTCAACCACAGCGTTGAAACAGCATCTGCAGCAAACACACAAGCTCTTTCCGGACGGCCGTTTAGGGAGCCAAGGACCGTTAAGCTCATGGATTTCCAAGGAAAAGAAGCTCTCGTTCGAAGAAGCTGCTATGAATTGGATTAAATCGACCTATCAGCCGTTTACGTGCGTCGAACAACCTTCATTTAAGGCTATGTTGAGATCAACAGGCTTCGAGGACTCCATACCAAGTGCAGATACTGTTTCGCGCAGATTATGTCTTCAGCTTGATGCTCTTGACAGTGAACTTCGGATCTTGATGTCTTCAGCTTCCTCAATTGCGCTATCTCTTGATGGTTGGACAAGTCAGAATTCATTGTCAATGCTAACAATTAATGCTAACTGGATGTCCTCTGCTTTCCAGCAATATCCAGCTTGTATTGAGTTCATTGAAATCAAAGGCAACCACTCTGGAGAGAACCTTGCTGATATCGTCGCGACGGTTCTTGAGAAGTTTCATATATCTGATAAAGTTATGACAATTACAGCTGACAATGCATCTTATAACAACACTCTACACCGATGTCTTTACCAAAAGTTGTCTCAGCGGTATGATAAGTACCTGGTCGAGACCGTCATCCGAGAAGGGATGATGAAGTTTACCCCGAACTCCCAAATCCGATGTTTTGCTCACATTTTGAATTTGGTCATGAAGACGATATAGAGGTATCTACGGGCCAGCTCGCATAGTGAAGCCTGTGACCCTCTTGATGACGTTGCTACGAGGAGCTGGAAGGCGATCAAAGCTCCTACTTCGCCTATTGCAAAACTTCGCCTATTGTCCTTTGGATTGCGAGATCTCCTCAGCGAATACAGAAGTGGGATAATCGGCCTGGCTGTACAAAGGCCATAGACTACGACGTTGGTACCCGTTGGAACTCTACCATTGTCATGATCAAGAGACCTTGCTATACCAGCAGCAAAGGTGGATATAGAGAGATTATTCAATGGCGGGAGAGATGTACTGGGAATTCGACGTTTCTCCATGAAAGGCAAGACTCTTGGGACCCTAATAAGGCTGAAAGATGCGGTACGTTGGAACTCTGAATAGTTATTTAGTGATAGTTTCTTAGGGCACACATGCGGTTGATTCTTCTAGACCTAGTTTGCAAAGGGCTTCTTGTGGGGACCGAGCATCTCGAAAGCTCGTTTCACAACTCCATTTTCCTAAGAAAGCTAGATATTTGGTTCGCGAACCTGTTCAAAATTCGTGCAGAGCGGTAACTTAGTCTGATTCTGGATTTTCCCTAATTCGCGTAGAACACGTGACCCCTTTTTTTCCCCCTGTAAAGGCTGGAACTACTGAGCGGGGCTCGTCAGTATGGCCATATAAGTGCGCACAATTACACGGTCTTGTCGCCCCTGAGATGCATCAGGTGGTGGATTCAAATCGACGGTAAACTGACCGCATCACGATACATTTTTAAAACTATGCAGAGATCAAACCAGCTTGCAAGTGTGGGCTGTTCTCTATTTGATGTATTGTTTTTAGACTGAAAGACCCAGTTATTTGCCTCGGCACCTTGGTGGCTTCTTTTTGATTGGCCAATTAATGAAGAGTGGGATTTCGAGATTGGAGAGCCTCCAGAGGTCACAAGCCGCTATTTCAGACACCTTGAAATTCAAACACCTTCTGGATGAAGAAGAGGCAAAGATGCCAGAATATTATGGTTTCGAAGGTCGTTTCCCCTGCATGCAGTTACGACAGCGCGTGGGTGTAGAAAAATGGAGGGAGCAAATGGACAAAATCAAAACCCAAAAAAGAGGTGAAGGAAATCGTGGCGAAGAAGCTGAGCGAGCTGGAGGCGTACGATGAAAAGTTGGACAAGGTTGAGCATTGCAAAGCTCTCTTGGAAAGAGAGGCCGTGACAAAGGAGAAATTCATTGTTACTGTCTGGGCTATCATGAATACAAATATATACAGCCTTACACCACGAGGGCTACCATGAACAAAAACACTGTCGTAGTCTCGAGATCAGTCATTCGCTCAGCACTCCAGCATTTGGAGATTCAGACTAAGCTTGAATGCAACCTGCGCTGTTGGCAGTTTGCCGTTCGGCATCTTCAGCCTCAGCTGAGCTGGGAGGACCAGGGCCTTGATGGTGTAGCGCACTGTTGGCGGAAAGATCACTACCCTCACTGGTGCCGCTACTTATACTGCTGCGGCTGCGGCTGATGGTCCCATGGTTTTCGTCCAGATCAACAAGAGACGATATCTGGAACTGGGTATAGACCAGCATGGTGAGAGCATAATCTTCTAGAGAGGTACGAGAATAGATCGAACGGGGTGTCTCCACGTGGCTTTGAGTTGGAGAGTGGCTACCTGTAGAGTTGTAAGGGAAAGTGGGCATGGTGCGCTCTGATGGTTGTTGCGTTGTGCTATTTTCGTTCATCGTGGAAAAAACTATATTGTCGTAACGTAATGTTGTTAGCCTGGCTCTTCAAACTTTGATTGAATTAAGCGTGGTCCACTGCTTCATGTATAATGGTGCGTCCGAATAGACCATCGCCGGACTTAGTACCATCCAGCGCCAACTTGGTCCTCCGAGGTGCAGAGGTATAAATGGAGTCTCCCGGAAGGAGTGTATTCTCGTGAAGGGCAATATTCATTGCTCACCTTTCGTGCAGAAAATCTGTATCGGCTAGAATCCTCAGTCAAAGACAGAAACTGGGTTGAGCTCAGGATAGCAATGGCATAAGCTAGGGGTAGACGTATGGTCGGTGTGCAATGGGAGAACGAGAATTGGTGGAACGGCGCAGGCAGGATATATTAGAACTATTACAAAAATCGAAGTAGTTGAAGATAAAACCACGCTGCCAATATGTAAAATCCCAGTGTCCTGGGGGATGATGTGTGTTTTGAAAGGGACAGGGGAAAAACCCTTCACAGCTCACAGCGACTCAGGTACCATGACATCAGTGTACCATGACATCAGTCGCTTTGTGCCAGGCGGGGCGAAAGGTGTTCTCTTAACGATTATTGGCTCTCTAAGCTGCCTAAGCAAATGTTGTGGAACCTTGTCGCCGCTGACCATCAGTTGGCCCGCTAAGGGAAAGCCCCAGAGGTTCCCGGTGACGTCATTATGTAAGGAATGGGCTAAACCAAGCCGATGGCGTTTATCGGCTACACAATTTTTAAGTTACTTCGTCGAGATAGATGATTAACGCAATAATACCACGTGACAGAATAACGTCATAGACTTTACTCGGGGAATCCCTTAAGTATTCCAGATCAGGTAGAGTTTCTTTCCATCGGATGCTTGGAAAACTCTTCTGAGAACATAGGACTGGCTATCTCTCTGAATGCAGTCAAGAGGCAAGGATCCATATCCCGAAGTAGATACGGCCTTTCCACATTATACCTTGAAGCAAATGTGCTAATAATATTCCCTCAGCCATTGTCGGAAAGTGAGAAACGTCACTTGAGCAAGTACGGAAAGCGGCTGCGTGGAGGCTTACTTGGTCAAAATTCCAAGGTACTTCAAATGTGATTCATTGTGACGCTTGCTGACAATCGGAAGGAACGGACGTACTTTGACTCTGGCCATTTCGCTCTTTCCACCGCTCATCGAGTGACCGACAACGGCGCTATTCAAACAGGCAGAGCGCATCCCCACCGGGACAACATTTCGCACCCTTCTTCCCCTATCACAACTACCAGTAACGTTGACAAGGATGCCAACGAGGATTCGCATAGGAGAGATGCAAGTCCTCAAATGAGTCCTCTCCACCGGCAAATGAATAAAGTCCCCACAAACGAGGAGGGACAGGACAATCTCTTCTCCTTCGAAGATTGAATCCAAATCGTCGCAGCGATATAAATCAAGATGTAATTCAGCACAACAGCACGAGCAGCACTACAGCCAAATATGTACATTACGAAAAGTCCTTCATTGTGAGGTGAAAGCTTACTTATGGAATGCTTCTCTATACAGAGGGATCAAGTGATCAAAAGCAACCGAGAAGTGAGCACCGAAACAGACCATGAAATACATTGACCTAACTTTTATTCCCGACTGTCCACCTGGCAGGTATTTTCTGAAGGTTTGCAGATTTTCAAAGTCAAGGCCGGAGAATGTTAGTAAAAATCCAAAGAAGACCTACGCCCACTTTCCAAGCAATGCCACGAGCGCCGCACCGCTGGAGGGCAAAAGAAGTGCTGCCAGAACCGTTTGAAAAGGAGCTCTTCGCATAGAAGGGGTGAGCATGAACTCGTGCGCCATAAGCTCGACAAGACCGACGTAAATAAGGATTCCTCCAGATATCGAGTCGAAAATACCATTGACGATTAGCGTTGTTTGACCGTTTGGTGGATAAGTTTTACGCACACCCAACCAAGCCAATGGCAATAGCAATAGGAGTGGCAAACCCATAAATGACCCCCAGAATGTATGGTGCCAGGGTTTTTGATCGCGGCCAAGGAAGGGTAGCAAGGCGGGAACCCAAGCCCAGTCCTTCAAAATTGGAAGACGATGACGATGTAAAGGATCGTGAACTCCTCGCCAGATACGGCGAGAGTCAAACCGATAAACACAGAGTGAAAGACGATACCGAATTCCAATATGAAGATAGAAGTCAGCTGAGCCATGTACACTTCTATTTTTTTGGACATCCCAGTATCTTGACGCCGCCGGAATCGTTCTAAGTTATCATTTCTCGGCACCACTCGATTTCTCTCGTCAGTAGTGGCATCCTCATCGTCATCAAAGTGTGAATGTATGTGATTTTCGACATCGAGCTGATCGTTTTGGCCAAGCCGTGCGTATCGCATGACCATCAGCTCCACAAAGAACATGACGAGAATAGTCATAAGTATTATGGGCTTCAACCCAGCCATATTATGTGATGGGACCAGTCAAACAGGGGTTTCTTAAAGCCTCCTCAGCTGGAGCAAGGAGGTGAATGAAGGCGGTAGCAATAATGACACCAGACCCGAAGTATTTAGTGATAAAAAAGACCCAGGATGGTATTCTTGAACCTCCAAATCGCGTTGCAACAACAGGGAAGACCGCGCCGAAAATAGAACCTACCAATATCACAAATATAGACGAAATACGCAATCCCATCCGGCCATCGTATTCATTTCCTGTGATACAGGGTGGAGGAGATTCGGTTTCTTCTTGTGCAAGAAGGTTATGGACTAATTCTGTACCCATCTCCGGAACAATGGTAGAGCGATATAGTGCCATGAAGTTGACAATCGACCCTGGTTCCAGAGACCACTGTCTAAGAATGAAGCAGTTGAAGGAGCAGCCGAAACCAAGTATTAAGCTATAACAAGCTGACAAGCTGACAATAGGGTATGAGACAGGGAACCTATGTAGAATTGGCTTGTCCGCATTTTAAACTATGTCTATGCCTTTCAAGAAATGGTCGGGAGACAATATGTAGGTTCTACGGGATAGTGGCGAATCTTGCCGAACATACATTCGCTTGGTCTCGGCCCAAACCTAAATCAGTACGTACCACTCGCTAGCAACTCCACAGATATAGTTGATTAGCTCAACTTGCGTTCCAGTGGGTCAATCCCGTGGATCTTAGGGATTGCCCCATTGGACATACCCTCGTAACCTTACCTCCCTAGAGAATTATTGCTTCGACCGCAGGATGGTCACTCAGTCATATGGTGCTATCATTGTCTAAATGAGCCTACTAGTGTCAGAATATGTCTTAGTTCACGAGAAAGAAAATTACATGGTACGGTTTCGCCTATGCCTCCGCAATTCTGTGGAATAATCTGTGGCGTCATCACTTTGCGTGCGATAAACGCTTTTCCTGCGATAGGCAACATTTTTGGTCGACTTCAACATATAGCGTGGCTTTCTGAATGATGCTTACCCGCTTACTCTGGCCATTTACAGGGATTCTCCAGTCTTCCTGGACTTGCTGCCCGCAGACATGCGTCTTTAATGTGTTCTTCCCCACAGTTGAACCACGTTTTCAGTACGAAGTGCCCACTTTTCTGGGTGCGGGAAGCGTGAATTTCGTTGCTGCGCCTCTGAAAATCCCTCACAGCCCTGGGGACTGTTCTACCACATACTGTCCGGGTGCCTAGAGGCCCAGAATCTATTCAAAAGGTGGTCCCTTCCCGGTATCGTTTCACCGAAATAAATTGGCCCCGAGAGGTCCTTTCAAAACGAGGCTGCGGTTGTGACGGGGGGCTTATGTTACAAACGTGTAATGATTGGATTGCATACGTGGCGTTGTCTTGATTTAATGTACTAACTTAGACCAAACCGACGACCCTCCTCCAAAAAGGAGAAAAGAAACTCTGAGATAGTGCCCTAGGACATCAATGGATACTAGAAAATACTACGCGCTCTGAATTATAAGTGCTGTGCAAACCCCGCTTGCCGAGATGCTTTTTGGCCCTCAACAACTCCAAGAAGCTTTACCCCCGCTTTCATCGCAGCACAGCAGGGATACTTCCCAGGCCACCTTTTACATTCTTGATGAACACGGGTGCTAGACATGCTGTAAAGAACACGCCCTAGCAACCATAGCACCAATGAATTACGAGGTAGGTAACCCCTTCATGTCCGTGTGCACGTTGTTGCCAAATAACTTTGCCAAAGATCATGGCAGACGACGAACTCAAGGCCAAGCTCAAGCAAGTCATTGATATGGCCATCTTCTCTCAGCTGCTAGAAATGGATGATGACGAAGTGCGTGAGTTCAGTTCGTCGGCAGTTTATGAAATCATTGAGGCAGGCGAAAACACCGTTGAGGACATGGACAAAGCACTGTAAGTCCCGATATTCTATCTAGACCCGTCCAATCCCACCGATTACTACAAAATGCAAGCAATTAAGCTCGCTATGAAGATGTATGGCTAACTTGGTGCTTTTTACTACTTTCAGTTCAAAAAGAGACTTACAAAAATTGGCTTCCCTCGGTGACTTTCTCAAGAAATCTTCGAGTGCGATGGGCTTTTACAAAGTTCGAGAAAGCTGTGAAAAGATTCAAAAAAATGGTGCAATGAGGCGCGAAGATGGTTCAGCCTCGGAGGGTAACGAGGATTTTTGTCTTAGTCGCATTGAAGACGAAATCAGCATTTTAAAGGATAGTCTTTGTTTCGCTCGCAGGGCTTTCGATTCCTTCTACAAGAGCAATGTAGCATAGAAAATCAGGACCAAAACCATCTTGAATATCATCAGCTCAGTTTCCAAGAAGAGAAATTGTTGAACTACGAAGTAGCAACCACAATTGTTTCATAAGAAAAGCCCAGTCTGCGGAAAGCAGGGAAGCCAATCCGAATAGCCTTCGTGCAACTCGTTTTATAAGATGATCAGTGTGTACTCCGCAATCGAGTATGTCAGAGCATGAAACCAAGAAAATTATTTTGGGCCCTTTTTACGTTGGGCCAACCATAGCTGACACTCTGATAAACCCCCTGGTCCGTGCAAGATACCTTTTCAACTTACCTCTGGATGTCTTTTCTGGGCAGCCAAGGTTGGATCCCTTAACTAGAGGGCATAGTATATTCTAGTTAAAGAGTCGTCATTACCGACGTATTGGAAAACCTTGAACCAACGACCACAATCCGGACCAGGAGACATGCACGAGTGGAAAGCGAGCAGACGTCTCCACGCGGCCCCGGGACCTGTGGAGCCGACCAATACCGGAACCAGTAGCGGACGAGTGACAACCAAAGAGATTCCGCAGATCATCGAACACCTGCAACAGCCCCATTGAAGAGCAAACCATGCTCATTCACGCCACCCGGACCGAACTGAGAGAAGTGAAACATAACCAGAACGAGCTCCAAACTCAGAATGAGAAGCTACAGGAAGGGATTATAGCGCTACGGTCGCAGGTAGACGGGCTGAATACACCAACCCCGACACGATCGTGGGCTGCTGTTGCAGCCGGTACAGACAATTCGCAACTGCGGGAGACGCGCCGACAAACAATTACATCTTTCTACCATAAGGCTATGAAAGCTCCAACGGATCGGCCCAAGTTGAAGTTTCTTTTGACCAGCCCCTACCGCTTCTATTCCAATATTTACTCGCAATTTCACGATGTCATGAAAGAAACCGCCACAATCAAATAAAAGACGAGATCGACCACGTCATTGATGTCGATATCCCCAAACTCGCTTCCAGAAACGGGTTCGACGAGGAGACAACAGAGTACCTACTTGAGCAACTACATCAGGTTGACAACAGAACCTATCTGTGGTTAAGCCTGATAATGGAAGGAATTCGCCTCAGTGAGCGGCCAGCCAATAAACGGGAACTGCGGAAGATTATTTCAGACTTGCCGCGGAGTCTGGTTGACGCTTTCGATGCTATCCTGAAGAGATGTCGGCGCAGAGAACTTGCAAGGCAGCTTTTGCATATCATTCTGGCGGCCCGGGTGCCTCTGACAGTTGATGACATGAGGCTAGCCACAGCCCTTGCGGGAGACCTCGAATATCGTTCATATGAAGAGATTGAGAACGAAAGCTCAGACGAATTCGAACTGAGAATCAAAAACATTTGTGGTCTCTTTGTGACAATAGACGGTGGCTGTGTATTCCTTATTCACCAAACGGCCAAGGAATTTCTGATACAGACCAATGACAATATTGATCATAACTGTGGACCTTGGAGACATACCTTCAGTGCGCAAGACTCGGAGACCACTCATTGCAACCATCTGCATCGCTCTTCTTTCTTTCACATGCTTTTCAGAAGATAATTTTACAGTCAGGGCTGGTGACCCCGATCAAGCTCGTGAGGAATTTTTTGCTTATAGCAATGATCAACCGTTCTTGGAATATGCAGCAAAGAATTGGATCAGGCAGTCCGAAGAAGCAAAGCTGGACAATAATCCAAAATGGATGCAGTTAATGGTATCCCTTTGCACCGTGCCTAAACCGGTGTTCCAAACATGGTATACAATCTATCAATAATCAAATCTGGATCGGCTTCCTCAGAAGATAACAAGCTTAAACCTCGCCGCTGCATTCGATTTTACAAATTTTCTGGTTGTTTTTTTTTGGAAAACGGCGAGGATCCGAACGAACAAGATAGCCATGGAGCAACGCCGCTCGCACGCGCTGCAAAGAAGTCTCAAAAGAGGGCTGTGCAGTCGTGTATGTAATTTGTCTCAACTTGACAATTCATTCCATGTGCATCCATAGAGGTCAGGCTTTCCAGAGTGACACTCGGCCCAAAGGCGACACTACCACTACCTGGAGAGGCTGCTGCAAGAATAGTAGAAGACCGAAGAAGCCAACTTGCGAACTCGATTAATTGAAAAACTACCTAAGAAACCGTTGTTGAAAGAGATTATATACCGCATTGGCGGTTCTTAACACGCGCTTTCTGAGTTGATCGTGCAAAAAGTAGAAAGAGAAATTATATATACGCTGAACCAGTGACCCTTAATGGTTATGAATTGTCTCTTAGTTCATCAAATGAACATATCCCGTTGCGTTACTGACACTCCACCTCAGCTCTGTATCTGTACAATCCACATGACATAGCCCACCATGTTGAGCACACCACAACTTGAGGCACTCGAAAATGAGCAAAAAAGATGTGAAAAGAAGAGAACCCAAAGTCGAGTGAAAATGCTGCATGAAAGGGTATACTTGCTTCCAGGCTGGGTTCCATGTAGAGACTGTCCAATATATGAGTGTGACTGTGTACACACTTATGACCCTTGTTTTATGGCTACGTTTCCACGAACTACGTATCTTGGCCCTCTACAGAGAAGGGCTTGGTTTTTATATAACCGCCTTAGGCTACCTCTCCTTCTAAGGTATATATAGTTGTAGTGGAATTGGAATCGAGCGTGGAGAGAGTAATCGAAAATCTAGGGACTTGTAATAATCTGATATAACTGGCCATATGCCGTATTGAACTTAGACAGCTCTAATCTCCCTGCAGCTAGGCTGCGGCGAAGGCTTCCCTATCAGCCTCTCTCTCATAGAATTCCCTAAGAAGCTCTTCTGCACCTGCCAGGTTACGTTTAGGCAGCTAGTTATTATCCACCGGTCCACGGCCGACCCGCTGTACGAGGTATCCTGTCCATTCCGGCCGAGCAGATCCGTCGGCGCGAAGACATCCTGGCGCTCCACGGGAGCGGCTTGCCACAATGAAGTCGACCTCGAAGCTATCCTCCTCCGGGAAACGCTCGCCATCCATCGGCTGATGCTCATCCGGCGTACCACCCTCAGGCCGATGGCCAGTCGGAGCGAACCAAACAGACGGCGGAAATTAGCGCAGGCTTTCATAGAATTAGTTAACAAAGATTCAATAAGGTATGTGTTTGGGGAGCCATTGGTGGCAACACTACCCCAGTCCCCACTAGAGAAACGCGGTCGAAAATGGGCAAGTCGTTCCGCAGGCTTTGGGACATGCGAACACTATAAGACAAAGCACACGTCATACAAAACACAGCATTTCGATTTCATTCTAAACTCCAAATATATATACTAATTCTTCTCTCCCATTTCGCCACCATGGAAATTGTGATTATCGGCTCTGGGATCATCGGTCTTCTATCCGCCCTGACACTGACTGACGCCGGTTACAAAGTGACGATACTCGCTCGCGACCTACCGAAAGATGACAGTCTAGATTGGGCAAGCCCTTGGTATTATGCTCTTGCCACATGCATATAGGGCTCAATCGCTGATATCATTACTAACAGGGCCGGTGCTGCAATCTACCCTCATCCAGATACGGGTGGCCAGCCTCTCCAAGTAGAAACCTTCAAATATTACTGGGCTCTTGCGCACAGAGATCCGACTAGCAGTGTCCAGGTATGGTCTTCAGGCTCACTTCTCTCTTGTAATGCTTTCTCACATAAATGGTTTATCCAACCAGGTGGTCAAAGCGACCGAATACTACGATGACCGAGAAAATGACGATAGCATCTGGTATAAGACCCTCGTACCACGATACCGCCGCATTATCGCAAAAGACCTTCCAAGCGGCGCGAAGATAGGCTTCACATACCAGTCCATGACAGTCAACCCGGCTGTCTTCCTCCCTTGGATCAAGAAAGAGCTTGAAAGCCGGGGAGTGCAATTTGTCCGAAAGACGGTCAAATCTCTCCGAGAAGCTGAGCACATTACCGGATGCAGGGTGATTGTCCACGCGTCGGGGCTAGGTGCTTCTGGCCTTGCAAATGACAAGAACATGGTAGCGATTCGTGGACAGACGATGTTCGTGGAAACCGATTTCGATGAGACTTCTTTGCACCAGGGTTCACATTATACTTATGTTATCCCGCGTATGTATACCGGTGGTGCGATTATGGGTGGTGTCAGCCAGCCGGGGAATTTGTCGCGGGAAGTAGCTAGAGAGTTGCGGTCTGATATTCTTCATCGGACGAGGAAGCTTTGCGAAGGCAGCTTTGATTCTGTGGATTTGCAGCGCGATGTGAAGAGGGATATTGTTGGTTTTCGTCCTTATAGAAAAGGTGGGTTTCGTCTTGAGGTGGAGGGAAATGTTGTACATGCTTACGGCTTTGGCGGTCTTGGATACGCCTTTAGCTATGGAGCTGCGCAAAAGGTTCGCGAGATGGTCGATTCGTTGGTTCGGAAACAGGTAAAGCTTAGGAGTTACTTGTGACAGAGCCTTCACGTACGGTCATATCAAAAGTTATGATTCCAGTTCGCTATTGGCGCAACTATTGAGTTGGCTGTTTAGCAGAACATGGGACATATTCTCTGTTCCTTTAAAACATCAATCCAAGTCGGGAGAGCATCACCCAGGTTAGCTGCTTGCTGTTCATCCTGTAACTTCCACAACTTAGACATGATTTCTTTAGCAGTCCGGAAAGGCAAAATTCCACTCTTTGTCCCAGCCTTATCAACTATATCCGAAATCGCTGATCGCTGTGCCGCGGTGGTAGCTTCGCATCCAGAAATGAATATGGGCCACAAGGTCCCAGGACCGACGGGACCTTCCTCTTTCACGAGAGATAGCCATGCTCCCAATGTGGCAATGACGTGGTCAACATGGCCACCGAGAATCGCTGGATGGACATGCCTTACTCTCCTGTAGAAAATATGACAAGAGAGGAGTTCAAAGCCTGGACCATGAGTTCATGAGGCGAGGTTTGTTCTTTGCAAGTGTCCCGAACCAGGTCGCGGTTTCTGAAAGAGTTTATCACGTTTTCAAGATGTGTAGTGTGTCGGTTCAAAGTCTTCCAAACATGGCTGCCGATCGGGATGCCTAAATCTTGTGCATTCCCCAATGTCTGCATGACATTTGCCAGCCGAGTAGTTTGTGAGACTAGACTAAGCATTGTCTCAGGAATCCCGTACACCTGTTGGCATAGACTCTCAGTTGACTTTCGTGAATCTTGAAGATGAATATCAGGAAGGTCCATTCTCCGGTCTTTTGGTTCATCGATGTTGAGATCGCCTTCGGAATTCTCAAAATGGAGAAAGTCATCTATTCTCCGGCCACGCTCGGCAATTTCTGCTATCGAGTTCAGGCTAGAATCAGGTGTCTGAAATTGGCAATGCGTGTTCAGGTTGTCGACAGATGAGTCTGATGGGATGTAGTTATACAGAACGTATGTGCTTTCTCCAATAAGGCGGAGCCATACGTAGACGTTGAACAGAAGACGGAGCTTCTGAGATATCCTGCATTTTGACAGCCCGCGAAAACGCAAAAGCCGTTCCGCATCCATCAGGTAACTCCGTGCATCCATATATTGACCAGAGAATATCTACACTTGTTTAGTCTGGAACTGCAACATTAGGTGAGGGCTTACCGCAAACTCCGTCAGCCCGTGTATTGCCATTAGCTGATCCTTCAGTTTGGCCTTTCTAGTACCACCAGTTTCCTCACTCAAAGAGATTTTCATATGTGTATTCGCACGCTGATAAGCCTGCTCCGAGACTTCTTTCCAATGATTCCTCGGACAGAAGCCAATCGTTTCAGTCGATGAATCCATTGCCAAGTGTATAGCAGAACAAGCGAGTAAACTATAAAGGTTTGCCTGTCGGGCATGGCTGACACTTTCAGATTCCATGATGGTCAGTTCTCCCAGGGTGACCAACGCCGCAGATATATTCAGAATATTCCACGGGCTTTTAGCAAGAGGCACAACAGTCATCTGGGGGATAATATTCTTTTGGAAGTTCTTTAGCAAGAAAGAAGCATCCCCCAATATGTTGACGGGAGAGAGTGTCTGTGGGAGATTGGGGAACTGGAGAAAGACATCTTCCAGTGCCAACCCCGTTCCCGGATATGTATCACTCATTTGAGAGAAAGTTTGGAAGTCAAGGGGATTCCCAGGATCACTGGAAGAGTCAGGCAAACCGCCACAGAAGTCATTACTGAAGAGATCTGACCATTGTAGTAGGTCGCCTGCGCAATCTGCGGTGTCAATAGCACGATATGAAGGAATATCAAATCCTGTAACGTCATGATTTGAAGCAGGTGTATGGGAGGAATTCATAGGCTTTTCCAGAGCAAGGTCGGTATGTTCGCCACCGGAAGAAGGTGCGCTTTTAAAAATGGAGGACTGCAAAAGGTCCAACTTGCGTCTCATTCTTGTACAGGAAGCCGGGGTCTTGCGATCTCAAATCGATTTCCTCCAAGGAATCGTCGATAGAGCCAGATACAAGTCCTTTGCTGATAATAGTTCCCATTGAACGCCTATATTGTTCTAACACCCGGGTCAGCGTTTTTTCAAACACACTGTCACGTCATATACAAACTCTTGCGTTGGAATGCACCATACCGGTATATAAATGACGCCTTATTCCGAGGCTAGTCAGATAGCCTCGTTTCTCGTTTGATGACCTTTTGGAACCCTGACTTTTCTTTGCTGGCACCCACTGCACCTCATCGGAAAAGCCCTCACAGGAAAGTCCAAGCCCTGAGCATTTTTGACAATTGGGACGGCTTTGATCGCATTTTACATGTCGGCGTTTACACGTTTTGCAGCCGCCCAGCGAGCGTGTCCGACGCGGCTTAGACTGAGACATTGTAACATTGACTTGCCGAGATTAGTTGGCGATTATTCCTGATAAAAGGATTTAGGCAAGGGGTAAATGCTGTAATGCAATAAGATAAGGTGTGTTGCGCAAGTGTTATTGAAGCGACTCCAGGTTTCCGATGCCGGAACGACTTGCCTTTTGATTTCGGAGGCAAAGTGGGTCATAGTGGGGTCGCCATCCCTTGACACCTGTTGGATCCCCTGTACTGATGATGGTATTGTCCTGTCACCCTGATACGCACTACTCATTCATTAGGGTTAGACCTGTATCTACTGGAAGACGCGCGCGTCGCGCGCATCGGCCCTGAAACGGTGAATTGGGTATGCGGGGAAAGTAGGTGAAAAGAAATATCAAATTGGGTGGCATGCTCCGAAGAAGCATCATTGGATGGATAGAATGAATATAGATCATCCCAAATTCAAACACCAAATTGTAAGGTTCAAACTAGGCTTCCGTCGTTAGCAACCCGTATTCCCACTCTTTCTGCCTTTCTCGTGGTCCGATGATCCCTTCTCTGCAATGGAAAATGGCATCTTTCATTCAGGTGTAGAGTGAACAGAGATTTTGTGCGAGGATGCTTGTATTGATAGAACGTTTGTTGTGATGAGAGTTGAGAGTTGTTGAGAGTTGGTGAGAGTTGGTGAGAGTTGGTGAGAGTTGGTGAGAGTTGGTGAGAGTTGGTGAGAGTTGGTGAGAGTTGGTGTTGATTATTAAGTGATGCTTCAGTGTTCATGTTATTGAGGGGAGTTGATTGTGTGTTGTGTTGCATGTTGTCTAAGATACAAGTAGACTGGTGAACAGGTATATATGTATGCACGTGATCCCAGCCTCATTATTATCTCCGTAACCGGGATATTTCAACAGTTGGTGAGAGTTGGTGAGAGTTGGTGAGAGTTGTGTTGAAATATCCCGGTTACTGAGATAATAATGAGGCTGGGATCACGTGCATACATATATACCTGTTCACCAGCCTACTTGTATCTTAGATAACATGCAACACAACACACAATCAACTCCCCTCAATAACATGAACACTGAAGCATCACTTAATAATCAACAAGTTGGTGAGAGTTGATGTGTTGGTGTGTTGATGTTGATGAGTGTTGATGTTGATGAGTGTTGATGTCGATGAGTGTTGATGTCGATGAGTGTTGATGTCGATGAGTGTTGATGTCGATGAGTGTTGATGTCGATGTGGTGAAATGAGTGTAGCGAAACATCACTGTTGTAGTGAATGGTCGGGCGATGAAGAGAGGGGTGGTCAACGTCTCATGCAGGCAGCGCGGTTTCTTGCCATGTCACCCACATTATAGAAACTTCAATTGCATTTTTTTTAATTTCGCAAGGCAATTTTGATCCCTGTTGGTCACGCCTTGACGTACCGCCTCCAACTCAATTGAGACGGTCTAATTCACAAGTTGCTCAACTATGATCACGCAATATACTGTACGCTCAAGAGAACTACGAAGTGTAGAGCCATGTGATGAGGTCTCGCTCGAAAACACGAATCGTGGGTAAACATTATGATGCGATAGGCTCTGTTTCTTGTGTAGTCAGAGCCGTTTCTCCACATGGATATTGCGTGTCGCTCGAACCTACCTTATAGTAAAATGCCTACATTCTAGAGTGAGAGTTGCTTTCCCTCGAGGTCAACATGTCATTGGGAGCTTTGGCTCGGGAATATCGGATTCGCTCCTTCTACACGTAGGAGCCGTCGCAAATTTGTGAATAATTCCCCGTCAGTACTTCCGATTCATAGTCCCCCCAATCTCTCGTAAAAGTCCACTACAGCGATTAAGAAACGGTCGTTACTTTCTGTGGGGCCTATTCCCGAGTCATGCGATACAGCATGCTCCGCTGCTGATATAGCATGATTGAAGTCCGATCGGGGTCCAACTAGCCATCTGGAACCAGAATGGTAAAGACACTCTCCACGATCGCCGCTCAGGACCGGGTGGTATTCGCACAGGGGTGCTCTAATCCACGTGTGGTCCTAGCAGGCATACGCTGAAACTCCTCCCCAAGCGAAGATGACATGAGCGCTTATTGGGGCAGATAATTCAGTATAGGCCGTACGGGAGAGTCCAAGAGGTCCTACAACCCGAGATCTATTGTGGTGTTGTTACGATCATCGTACCCACCTTCTGTGAATTGCGCGAACAATGATATGCCAGATATCGTCGCGATGAGTTTGAGGAAACATCATCGATGATCAAAGCACAGTGAGCTCGGGAACGTAGAGAAGTCGGTGATTTGCTGGCAAGACCTGCTTGTGCCGCCAATTGCGACATGTTAGAAGACGGTTTCAATAGACAAGGGATATTGGATAGCTTGACTGACCTCCAGCTGCTGTGACATTCAAAGTGTATGGGCTTTGCACATAGTGCTCGGGCTTGGATAGAAAAACGCAGGCTTAGGAATCAAATAAATCAACCTTCGGCCCAACAGGGACGAGCGAAACACTTTTCATAGCATGCAGCTCCGTGTATGTCCGAACAACTTGTTCCCGCTCGCTCGCATATGTCGACAAGCTCAGCAACGCGGAGAGGAAGAGGGATCAGGGGGACTCTATCAGACGTGGTTCTTGGGTCATGGGTTCTCTCTTTCGTTTGGCTGTCCTCGGTCTTGTCCATCGATTCGAAGCTGACATGGCTATTGTTAGTTGATTCGGCTAGAAATGACGGGACTTTCGCCTCACCTTCTCCATGCAAGCAGACTCGACTAACAACCTCGCCAGTACGAAAATACGGCTCTAGCAAGACAAAGCATCGGCTCCTCCCGGTGTCTTCGGGTTTTTAGGCTCGAAAGATGCTAGATGCCATCTGAGGACAACGATGGTCACCCACTGGACGCCAGGGATCCAAGCCGCAAGTAGGCTATCCCTTGTGGGTGTTCAAATGCCGAGAAACAGACACTGCTATGCGGTCCATTGGGTCTTGCATCAGGTAGGCATACCAACGCATGATCTGATGAACCAAATGGACTAGGAGAAGGTCGAGGTAGCGACTCGTCGATGCCACCGGTAGTCATGTGGAAGAAACAGAGCATGCGATGGTGTTGGTGCAGGGGAGGTTGAACAGACAAGACATTTGCTCGCTTCCCATTCGAGTGTGAGAATCTGAGGGTGTCTTCTTGTGGTGAGATCCGAGTCAGCAAGTGTTGATCCAGTTGGACGAGGTGTTGTACTTTACGTTGTTGATGAAGAATTCCCCGAGTGTACGGTTGAGACAGATGGTCAATTAGGATCGTCATCATACCAGCTTACCAACTAGATCACTTCCAATTCAGTTCTGCGATGTAGTCACCAATATACCATGTTGTATTCAGGTTCGTCGCACTCTCCGGCTGTCGCTTCGAGAAGCCGCGCTGGATGAACCGACAAGTTCACAACACGGCAAAGGCGCATGACGAACTCACGTGTGACAAAAAATTGTACAGTTGTATTAGGAGACAGCTTCGTGCAGACAGTGAGAGGTTGAGGCACTCCGCTGTTCATGGTGTGAAGGCGGTGAGGAGGGGGAAGACGCGATGGCGCGTCGGGCCCTGGGTCTTATCTGACTCGGCGGGAATAGGTTACTCGCCACAAGAATTGTCGCGGTCGGCGATGGGCTGCTCCTGCAATGGCATAGTGATGTCAGTGGTGTTTGTGTCTCCGGCACAGAGTTGGCACAAATCATCGGACCCGGCGCAGCAGGAGGCGTGATATTGCACTCACCTCATCGTGCACAACGAACGTCTGGGGCTTATGCATCCTGCTGTTGGCCCGCGGCCTTGGTTTGCAGTATTTCACATAGGACATGTTGCATGGTTTGAAGTGACAGGGCCAGAAATGGCGTGTAAGCCATGACCCTGCGCGGAGCACTGACGGAGTGCTGGTTCGGACTCAGTCTGGTGCGCTGTCAACGGTTTCCTGTCCATCGTTAGCTTGTCGATCGGCGAGGCAATGCATGACTCACATGTTCTGAAAGACGACACGGGAAAGGGCACCGTGGCTGGTGTATATTGGATGGAATGCATGGATCTTTGTTTCGCATCGTCTTTGAAGTCAGTCTAGTCTCGGATAGGGTCGCGCTGAGACAGACTTACCTCGACCGCTCTTTTGCATCGATATATTCAGGAGCGGACAGTGGTCGGCTGCTATGGTGGACAGATGTTCGCATAGGTACTTTGACTAGCTAACCTAAATATGCTTCTTTGATCGGCTGGCATGAGTGACATAGTGGACCTGGTGGTCGTCGCGTCTCACAAGCACTTTCTAGCTTGTCGGTCCACGATGTAACTATAGATGTCAGTACAGTGGAAATCCAGTAGGTCAAAGGGAAGAACTTATCAGGTGCCTCGAACCGAAGGCCTGCTCGACTTTGCGCAACAAGTGACAGTGTTGTATAACAAATTGCTGGGGGAGACGGCGAATTTATTAAGTTTCTCGGCTCCTGTCGCGTACGTGCTCTATTATGGAGCAAACGTTGAACACGATGTCTATCCTAAGTGAGGCCTGTTGCAACCCATGCCTTCATTCTACCGCAACTATTAGCAGCGAAATTCGTGGTGCGATCTTAGATGCTCATCGAGAAAACATGCTAGAGTCAAGTAGAGAATGAGTCAAAGTGAGTCGGTTAAGAAACGTTGGCTCACTGTTGAATCTACGGTCTTAATATTGAGGCAACGGAAGCTGTTCATTCTTTTATCTTACCAAGAGCGCTCATATTTTCATCTAAGGAACATGGAAATCTTCTGGCCTCGCTCGAGTGTTGGTTGTCTGAGCTGTGTGTGGTTCTGTCCGTCTAGGCTGCGGAAAGCGTCAGGCCGCGGTCGCGCGGGCGCGGGTATTCGACCTGTCAACCCGTTGAAGCTTGGCCTTCGTTGTTGACTTGAGTCAACTTTTGAACTTGTGACCAGCGTTGAAATAGATACCTTGTTCTTTCACTTCTCTTCTTCGGTACTGTAAATTTTACTCTATGTGATTTTGGGATTTCTGAGGCTTTCAACGAATGTGGAAAAAGTGTTGTAATCGAATATATATCTCCTGGAGGAACTTTCATCAGCAGTGAGCCACTGAATATGAGGCACACTCACCATCCCATCAACACCGCGAGACTGGATCACCATCATCATCATTGAATGGGCTGCTAACAGAGCGCTGAAATTCAAAAGCCGACTGCGTTGATTGAGTTTCATGGTGATAGTGAGACTGAGTACATAACCACGTCTGTATAGTTAGTCTATAAAAGACTCCAAGGATTGATGGAGGTGGTATAGCCCAGACCCTAGACTTTCTCCGACAGGCAAAATGGATGCCACGAACAGCATGCCAGACCAGGAAAAAGAAGGAGAACAAGAGTCCAGTGAATTGCCAGTCGTTTGTGAAAAGGACAATTCACAGGAAGCTTCTGATCATGCGCCAATGGTAAGTAAATGACTCAGCTTTCAATGCTCTTGCTGACCATTGCAGCCCTCTACCTCGCAACAGGAAGTAGAAACAAGACATACCTTGGCGACCGAGCCCTTTCAACCCATCTTGAAGGTGCTAGCAGAACTCGAAGGCGACGATCCCAAATTCGCCTTTCCAGCGGCTCGACTTGTCGGACTCTGTCGACGCCTATGGGAGTCGTGCGTGGCCAAACACAACGATGGCCAGAAGCTAGAGCAGAACAATCAGATCTTGCAGGAGTCTGGCACACACCTGCTTAAAGAGAGGGACGGTCTACAGCTTCGCCACGACAAGCAGCTGTCTAGGCTGCACTTCTTTGAGCAGGCACTGGAATCATCTCGGGGTCGACTGACTAGGGTGCTCGATGGCTGGAATCACCCTTGCAGACTCAATCTGGCAGGGCTGCCAGACATGGCAAGAGAAGAGTGAAGGATTGTATATTCTTGATTGTCCTATGTCTTACTTTTACAATGTGGAAAGTATCCAACGATGTATCCAACGATGTCGCAATGAAGAGTTACCGCATGGGAAGCAGCTTATATCTTTTCGAGAATTCGTATTATAGCCTTTGTGGAATGTGTCTGCGAATAATCCCGCATGTTCTAGTGTCGCTTTTATTAACCCAATATATTATAAACAAAAATACGGATCCAGTGACAATGTGGGCAGTGTAGCTGGCGGAGAAAGTGTCGACTGAATCGGCCATCTCGCATTGCATCACGAGAGCTACCGGAAGTAGATGTCGCCAGCTCTTACAGACCATCAACCTTCTCCTCGGAGACCGCTTCAACAATCTTTGTGGAATGTTGTCGTCTTCCATTCTGCTTCGAATGGCACTCTGGATGCAATCGTTTCTTGTTAGATCCAGAGAGCTCTTCAAACTGAAGTGTTTCAGTCTGGGATTGACCACAAGTGCATCAACAATCGAGGAATGCCCACCCTTGACCGCCAACATCAATGGATCCTCAGACCATCGATTCCTGATGTTGACATCAATTTGATCATGGCGTAATAGTGCCTCGACCATCTCCAAGTCACCACCACCGGCGGCAATGCAGAGAGCAGTGTCGTGAGTTGCGATCGTACTTTCATTGATGTGCAGACGTGCGCCTTGTTGCACTAAAAGTCTTACCACATCGAGATGGCCATGTGCAACCGCTCGACAAATGGGCGGATCCATCACGTCCCTTCCATCGATCTCCACGCCCTCCATACTCAGTAGACAAGTAACCGTGTTCATGCGTCCGTGATATGCGGCAACGGAAATTGGAGAGTGGCCTGCAACACAGATATTCGGATCGATCCCTGGCACCGCAAGCAGCCGTCGTAGGAGCACGGTATCCAACCTGGTCGCGGCGTGGTGTAGAGATGTAGACGGTGTTTCAAATCTTCCGCGGCCTCCAACAAAATTAACGTTGATGTCTTTCTCGGCCAATAGCCTGTCGGTTATCTCGTCGCATGACGAGTAAGTCGACAGCCACAGTGGCGTATTGCCATCTTTGTCTTTGCAGTTCACGTTGGCACGGGGGTGACTTAGGAGCAAATTGACCATTTCCAGGCGCTTGCTTCGAATGGCGAGATGGAGCGGCGTAGAGCCTTTCCTATTTTGGATGTCCAAGTTCAGACCCTTTTGTCCGAGAAGCCGTTTGACAACATCTACCGACCCATAGGATACTGCTTGGTGAAAGGGTAGCTCGGCCTCCTGTGATGATTGGGTACCAAGAAACACCTTGGCCATCGGATCGTTTGAAAAAATCATTTCCATCACGGGTCTATTGAACCGACATGCCCAGTCCCATGGCGAGTGGCCCGAATCGTCCTGTAGATCAGGGTCGCTGCCTCTAGAAAGTAGCAGATGCACGAGCCCTATTCGGCCTGCGAAGACTGCTAGGTGGAGCGCCGTTCGGCCGTGTTTGTGCTTGACGTCCACCTGGACGTTCGGTTGATTTAAGACGCTCTTGACCGCGGAAAGGTTTCCGTAGCGGATGGCATACCACAGGGCGCTCTCCAGCGCTTGATTTTGAATATTGATATCTAGGTCTTCACGACTGAGCAAGAGGTCACGCACAGCAGCGGACGAGTATTTGAGCGCCCTCATGAAAGGAGTTTTGCCGCGGTAAAATGCATTGATGTTGGCGTTGTGCTGGAGCAAAGCCTCCGCAAGACCAACGTTGTCGTATTTGACGGCCAAGTGCAACAGATTGCTGTTCTGAAATTTGATGTTGTATTTCCAGATGCTGGGCTGCAGTTTAAAATCAAAGTCTTTGCATGATTTTGCGAGGGCAAATAATGCACTACCGTCCAAATACGACACAATCCACAGCAAAAGCTCGTTGGGCAGGTCTCTGATGTTTGGCTGTAATGTATTAGCTTATCGGTAAAATCAGCAAGAAATTGAAACAGACCATGATTGGACAGGATTGGAGCTAGGAAGTAAATGAAATGTAAATGAGGGTGAGGTCTGAAAGTTGGACGCCTTATATATCTCGCCTCAGCTAAATTCTGTGGTCAGCTAGAAGTGTAGCCCGTCACTCCGCTGAGGCGCGTAGCAATCACACGGCAGCATCAAAGCCTTGACAAGAATGTTTGGGCGGCGTTGAAGAATCTCTGGAGTCTAGCTCCCGGGAACGCCAAATCACTTCCTGGCTATGTCGATAGCCTGGAAACCGGATCTATCTTGGCACCCACTTTCATCTAGCGCCATAAGAGTAGATCATAACCTATCACGCACTTCCGAATTCCATAGGCAACCCAGAATTTCACCCAGCATATGTCGACTTTGCTGCTCATCGCAGTAGCCAGTCTGTTCGCCACTGCCTGGTCACCGCGATGGACAGTCACAAGTGCAGCTGATTGCAGCAGTGATCTGGAATGATATCCCTTCTCGCGGGCCACTGATCAGCCATATAGCGGCGCATAATGCTTTCGAACGCATTCCTCGACGTACCGACTGTTTCAAGGAAGTGTTCCATGCCAGCAGCCATGCAGCCATGTAGGCAAGGAGCCCACGACGATGGCATATAAAGCTGACGAGGGGACGCTGCAGTGATTGCCCAACAACACCACAATCCGAAGCATTTTCTGCCTTTGACGACCACCTCAATGGCCACCATGCTGCCTTGGAATCCGTTTCTTGTTTGTGAGATAGAAGTCAGCCCCAACGGCGGTCCTGGCTCCTGTTGCGGCATGACCAAAAAAGGCCACCCATGCAAGAACTTGATCAAAGTTGAAGACACCAAGATCGGCCATCAAAAGTTGGCCACTCTCGCCAGAGAGACATTTGACGTGTCATCGTTGCAGCCGAAACTCTGTGACGTCGCCAGAGACTTCCTTTGCGCGAGATGGCACCGGCAACGGCAGGCCGACCAAGTTGGCCAGCAGTGGTATGAAGCCGCCGTCCGCAACCAGTCGCGAGTACCACATGGCTCCAGAATGGCTTCTCCATCAGTCATTGTACATCCCGGCCAGCGTCAGACATCGTCAGCCTCCAGGCGCCGCCCTGCATCAGACAACACTGACCCGTCACCTCGCGGGCTCAGACAAGACCCGCCGGTGCGCCTGTCAACAAACCCCGAGCCACTGCAGCCATTCAATCCATTTGTGACTTCGGCAATGCTGCGGACGAACAGTGTTCCATGGCGCGTTTCGCCGGCCCAACCGGCTATTCTGGCGTCGGTCGCTAATATCTGGGCTGGTTTCCAAGAATTGACGCTCCAGAGTCTCACCCCGAGTGAAGAGGTCGACAGCATCCA